CCCGCCCCTCACACAGCCCGCGCGCACTTGCTCTTCTGCTCGCAAAACCCCATCTTCTCCTGCAGCAGGCCCATGCGCAGGTTGGCGCCCTCGTCCTGCGGGCTCAGCTCCAGCGCCTGCTGGTAGTCCGCCTCAGCAAAGGTCAGATTGCCCAGCTGGAAGAAGCAATCTGGGGCCCCGGGGCGGGAGCTGAGTGGGTCCCCAGCCCCTGGGCCCAGGAGCCCCAGCCCAGTCTGCTCCACCCCCCGGAGGGCGGGGCCTGAAACTGGTGGCTGATAACACCCGTGGGCGGTCAGGGGCGCCCGCGGAGGTTTCCCGAGCCTCTGCGCGCCTCTTCCCAGTTGTCTGATTTCTGAGCATTCCTTAGATTGTAGCCAGTTTGTCGGTGGGACAGTGAGACTCTTAAATGTTTCCTCTTTCCCTCCTTCTGTCCTCCCTCCCTCAGGGGCCTCAAGTGCCCAGCCCTGGCCTTAGAGAGGCGAGCCCCACTCACCGCCGCGGTTGATGTACAGGCTCTTCTCCCGCTGCTCGTCCCTGAGGGCCTTGTTGAGCAGCAGCACGCTCTCCTGGTAGGCGCCCTGCACGTAGCAGTGCACCGCGAAGTCGTTGTAGGTCAGCAGCAGCTGGCGCTGCGCCTGCTGCACCAGGTCCTCCTGGTGCTCGGTCATCATGTCCAGCGCCTTCAGGATGTCCTCCACGGCGGCATCAAACTCCCGGAGCCGTCGGTACATGGTGCCCCTATGGGGGAGGGACATGAGAGCCAAAGCACCGCCACTGACCCGGTGGCTGGGCAAGCCGCTGCCCGCTTTGGGCCTTCCGACCCGCCGAGCTGGTGATGGGGCTCCCACGTCATGCACTAGGTGCGGCCTGTGGGGCCTGGATTGCTACTCAGATAACCTGCTAGTCCCTGGTCATTCCACTTTTCTCAAAACCAGCTTCTCTCTTTCTTTTTGGGAGCCATGTGCATGCCAGCCTCTATGCTAAGGCCTTTTTGTACCTGGGACAGATGGTTCGCCCCCACTGTTTATATGGGAAAACCCACACCCAAGGAAGTTAAATGGCCCTAAATCATGTGGTCAGCCCTTGGCAGGGCCAGATTCACCCGCAAGCCTTATCCACAGAGCTGGGCTGATCCTCCCACCATAAACTGCTCAGCTGGCCTAGGGGTCCAGGATTCCTTCAGGGGCAGTAGCAGAGACCACCTCCCATGATGCCTTGACCCCAGTGGGGAGTAGGGAAAGATTATTAGAGGCTAGATGGGGAAACAGAGGCCTAAGAAGGTTCATGGGCTCTCCTGAGACCACACAGCTGGACCCAAGACTGGCACCTCCGCACCCAGTACCGGAAAAGGAAGAAGCTGGGGTCCAGAGGGCTGTTTTCTATGGCACAGTTGATACACTGCAGTGCATGCTGCAGCTTGCCCTGCACGGCTAGGATCCCGGCATCCTGGAATGACTTCTGGGCCTGGTCCACCATCATCTTGAGCAGCACCTTGGCCTGTGGGTGCCTGGGATCCAAGAGCAAGGTGCTATGCAGGTCTTGATAGCAGAGTTTGGGCTGCAGGGGACAGGGGGTGACATCAGGGGTGCAGGCCAAGCTGAGCCCTACCCTGTCCAGTGGGGGGAGGAGGCAGACCTCCAGGCCTATAGGGGCCCTTCTTGGGACAGGCTGGCACCATGCCACCCATCCTTGGTGCCACTTCGCTGTTCTACCCTTCCTGTTTCTTGAAAGAGGCAGGGAACGTTGTGGGAAATCCCATCCCAGGCCCCAGCCCCGCTGGGCCTTTTCCAGAAGTGACCTCAGCTGAGCCAGCTCAGCCTTGGTGGTTTCTGCCATGGAATAGGGTCACAGATACTGCTTCCTTGGAGGACTTCTGCGTGGCTCACTCAAGGGTGTGGCCTCCCGACTGTGACTGTTGTGTCCTCCCTATCCTTCCCAGCACATCCTCCCCCACTCCCTTGACCTTTAAGCCCAAGATAACTCTGACCAAGAACAGATTCAGGCCTGGGCATGAGAGGAAAACATCCCCAGGCAAATACCTTCCACTGGGCGAGCAGGTCTGTCAGTCAGTCAACAAACAGTTTAGCATGCACCCTGTGTCCTATAGGATAATTGGTTGGAGGGGAGCAGGGCAACCTGCGACACCAGGTGTGAGTGGAAGTCGGGAAGGGGAAGATGGCAGAGGCTAGGGGCAGGGCTTTGGAGTAGGCGGACTTGGGTTCAAGGGCAGCACCACTGAGAACTGGCTGTGTGACCTTGAGCAAGTAACCCAGCCCCTCTGGACCTGTATCCTTACCTGTGAAGACTACAGATTGTATCCACTCAAAGGGTTATTGTGAGCCTTTAAGATAAACATGAGTCAAGTGCTTAGCATGTGCATTGCAGGGGCTGAAGTGGCAGGAACGGGGCTAAAACCCTGACAGTCAACAATCATTATCAGTAATTACTAGTCTCCTACCTTTGAAGGAGACTCTCCCACTGACTCACTGTTGGACATAGAAGCTCAACCCTCAGCGTAGGGAGGCTCATGTCTCCATCCACCCCCAGGGTGCCCCACCTGGTGAGCTGAGGTGAACCCCTCCCCAATCTCACCCACCCCCTGTTCCTTCCCCTCCTGAGTGTCCCAGCTCCCAGGCACCAGGCCAAGCGGGAACACGGGCCATTGTTCCGGATCCCTCCCGTCCCTCTGCCCACCCCCGGATCAGTCTCTGATCCTGACTTCCAAGGACTGTGGAACTGCCCCCTTCTTGCCCATCCTTCCTCCGGCTCCCTCCTCGCCTCCTCCCCCGGCTTCCCACCTCCAGCCTTGCACCCTCCAGCCCACGCTCCCCCGGAAGCCAGAAGGATCTTTCTAAAGCCCACTGCCTTGGGGAGCACCCTTATGAGGTTCTCGATGTCCCCAGGAAGAAGTCAGGGTCGTCCTGGGTTCACAGGGCCCTGTCCAATGCCTTCCCATGCCTGGGGTCCCCTCCTCCTTTGTGACCTCAAGCCTCCCTCGTCCCTAAGCCATTCCCTGTACTGTCTGTCTCCATGCCCAGCCCAGGGGATGTACCAGCTGGGGTGCTTAGTAAACATTCACTGAGGTAAATAAGAAAGGAAGGCAGCAGGAGGGGCCACTTTATCTAGTCGATCTCAGGTGGTGCTACGTATTCTCCTGAAATCATTCTTCATGTAATTATCTGTTTAGGGACGTCTCCCCTGGGCTGTGAGTTCTGTGAGGGTAGCAACGGCATAGGTCTCTCATCTTGTGGTTTCCAGGGGCCAGCGCAGGCCTGGCACAGAGCCAGGGCTGAGTGACAATGGAGCAACTACCTGACTGGCCACTGAGTGGTGAGTGCTGGTCAGGCCTCTGCCCAGACTGTCCCTGTCACACTGTGAGGATGTGGCTTCTGGGCTGCTTGATGGCCTAGTTGCCTCCTGTAATCTTGGGGCATGCTGGGAGCAACCAGGCTCTGGGGGGAAGGCCACCCCTGCCCCACCCTGCCTGTTCTACCTTCTGGAAGAAGTTATAGAGCCTAGCCCGGAGGATGTAGACATCAGCATTGGTCGTGCCATCCTTCACCTCTTTGGTGACGAGCAAGAGGCAGTCATGATGCCGCTGGAGGGCCAGGAGACAGGCCATGCTGAGGGCGGAGGGCAAAGGTGCTCTGTCTGCCAGGTGACAGGGACAGGAAGGGGCTGCTAGAGAACAAGGGCCGGCAAGGATGCAAATGGGGCACTCACCATCGGTAACGGAAGTGGGGTTTCTCGGGCTGGAGCTCAGAGGCTTGCGAGAAGATACTCAGGGCGTCCACAAAGGCACATTGCTCAAACAGGCACTGGCCCTGAGGACACAAGGGGCAGTCACTTCTGCTTGCATCCATGGCCTGGTAGCACTCATGAGAGGGGGTGGGCAACTTTGGGGTGAAAGGGGAGAGAGACAAGAGACAGGGACAGAGCTCTTTAGATCTGGAGAGACTTTAAGAGATAGAGATACAGAGATGGGGAGAAATACAGAGCTGGGGAGACAGAGCAAGAGAAAGTGAGAAATATACACCTGGCAAGAGTCAGACAGCAATACAGAGACACAGGAACAAAGAGAAATAGAGAAAATTTGGGAGGTAGACAAGAACCGCAGAGCTAACAGTAACAGGCTCCAGCCTGGACTAGGGCTTCAGGTGGCAGGCCAGGTGTTAAGAACTTGAACTTGTTATCTCGCTGGTAATAACTAGCATCCCCCTTTTAGATAAAAGAACTGAGGCTCAGAGAGGTGAAGTAACTTCCCCAAGGTCACACAGGAAGTGCCAGTACGGGACTCAGGACCCTGACAGATTAAGCACATGGTTTGGGTGCCCTGAATGTTTCTTTTCAAGAATTGAGTAATTATTGACATTAAAGATATCAAAGTTGTCAAAATGGAAAAAAATCAGGACTTTGTTGGTATTTTATGGTTTAATATTGTTTTTATTTTGAATTGCAAGTGGGGGGTATTATTACCTTTTTAGTGCTTAGAGCCTCTAGACTCTAGGTCTGTGCTGTCCAGTACAACAGCCACCAGTTTCATGTGGCTATACACATTTAAATTCATTAAAATGAAATACAATTTAAAAATTAGTCACACTTGCCACATTTCAAGGGCTCAACAGTACCATGTGGCTAATGGCAGCCAGATTGAACAGTGTCAAGTAGATCATCATTATTGCAGAAAGTTCTATTGGACAGTGTTGCAAAACTTTACCCAGCTCTGGTGGTACACCAACTCCAGAGGTGGGAGAGGTCATGAGAGGGGCAGCAGGTGGGGTGACAGAGATAGGGACAATGAGGTCCCCAGGGAGTCAGAACTAGTCTTGGGAGCAAACAATAGCAGGAGGGAGAGCCAGCAGGCCTGGGTGTGAGGTGGGCGCCTGGTGTGGGCCTCGGGCAGCCCCAGGCACCTGCAGGTAAAGCACCAAGCTGAGCCGCTCCAGGTAGTTGGTGTTCTCTGGCTGGCAGAAGTAGGCCCTCCGCAGGTTCTGGGCGGCTGAGGAGAAGTCGCAGAGCTGGATGTAGGCTTCGGCCCTTAGGGCATAGAAGTCTACCTGAGGGAGAGGGGACCCAGGCTGCTGTCCACGCCCCACAGTCCACCCTGAGGGTTGACTCTCAGTTACCAGCAGGGACTTGGTGGCCCTACGAGGAGGGTCCTGGCAGGTGTGACAGTGAGGGGAAGTGTGTACCAGAGACTGCCCATGTCCATCCAAACCCTCCCCCTCACCAGCTGGGAGTCCAGGTGGAGGGCACGTGAGAAGAACAGCACGGCCAACTCCCAGTCTTCCTTCTCCAAGCACCGATGGCCTCGCTGGTAGCTGTGGGGGTAGGGGGCACAGGCAAAGGGGCTGGCCCTGACTTTGACCAGCCCAGGGCACACAACTGGGGCACTTAGGTGGAAAAACAGGAGGGGTAGACAGAGATCTAGGGAGAGGCTGGCATTCTTGGAGCTCATCCAGGCCAGCAGCCTTGTATCCACTGAGGCGGAAGAGACCTTACACAGTTGAGTTCACTGAAGCCCAGGGAGGTAGAGTAACTGGCCCAAGGCTGCACAGCATGTCAATGGCTGTGCAGGGGAGGAACCTAAAACCCTGGGGCAAGGTAGTCACTCACTACTCCTTGACTTTGAGGGACACTGTTAACCCAGTGGTCGTTGGTCTTGTATCACCAAAGCTTTGGAACACCTGGCTGGTCCCAAAGATGCGCTGTAGGGTGTCTTTTAGGACTGGAGTCGTCCATGGCTTTGGGATGTGCTGTGAGGGAACCTGGTCAAGCCTCAGACCATCCTAGAATCAAGGGACAGCAAGCTGGAGCAGACCTCAGAGATGACCCCCTCTCCACTTACACACTCTCTTCAGGTATTTTACAGGAGGAGTAGAAATGAGGCCTGGTAGGAGGCACAATCTGGGGTCTGATAGCATTCCCAGTCCCATTCCCCTTAGGGATGTGCCAACTTCTCTCTGTCTCCATTTCTGCGTTTCTTCCTCTCCTATGGTCAAGGTCAGGGGTCAAGGTTCTCATGCTCACACTGCCCTCTGCTCTTCTGGTCCTTCCTTCTCAGCTCCAACCTGCAGCTACTGACACCCAAAACTCTAATGTCTCCAGCTCAGGCCCTCCCCCAAGCTCCAGGCCCCAGGGTCCTGCAGCCCCTAGCACATCATGTGGGAGCCTCACGCCCAGGAGGCCAAACTGAGAACCTCACCTGACTTCTGCCCCAGCTTTCCCACCTCAGTGAGTCCACCTTCTCTGCCAGCCAGAGACCTATGTCCCATCAGTCCTCAAGTCCTCTGTCCCACTTCCTAAAGGTCTCTTAGATTCCTCCTCTTCTCTTACCCTCTTGTCTGGGCCAAAGCAATCTGTGTCAGTACACCGACTCTGGCCACCCCTCTGACCTCCCCACCAGCCACACACTCCAAGCCCTCTGTTCTCTGTACAGTGGCCTGGGACTTTCCTGAATTGCACAACTGATCCTGCCTCTCAGGTACTTAAAACCTTTCCTGCGAGCTCAGCCTGTGTCTCTTCACCCCCGACGCTCTGCCTATGCTTTCGCCTTCTCCCGCACCTCTCTGGAGTCTGTCATGAGGCCCCTTCCAGGAGGACCTCAAGGCCTGAGTTGGCTCTCTCGCAGCCCTCAACCTTGACGTTGCTAGGCACCATCTCCCCCGACGTCTACAGGCTCCGCCCCTCTGGCCACGCCCCCGGCATCCAAAGGCTGTTTCAGCCGTAAGAAGAGTAGCAAACTTTAGTTGGGAAGGCTGAGGCTACAGCAAGGAAAAGACTTGCCGGATTTCCGCAGCGAGATAAGACCATAGCGTGGACCAGAACAAAGCTCCCTCCTCCCAATCCGGAGGTCAAACAAGGGCTCTGCGAGTCCCACAACTAAGCTCACCAGGACACGGTGACGCCACGCCGCGGAATGCGCGGGGGCGCCCTGCCACTTCCGCCCCTCAGAAGCATGGCGGCCCTGTGGCCCGCCCGGATTGGACACTGGTGGCCGCCCCTGGGCAGATGGCGACCACTATTGGCCGAGGTCTGGGTGACGTCAGGGGGCGGGGCGGGCCTTGAATGGGGAGCAGCATGCCGTCGCTTAGCCTCTTGCGCGGGGGCCTGTGGTTGAGTCGAGCTATGAGCCGGTGCGTGTTGGAACCCCGACCCGCAGGGAAGAGGTGGTTGGTGAGTGTAGTGGAGGGGGCGACGTAGAGGCTCTCGGGCCCTAGCTCCAGTCTGCCATTCTCTCTCGGGCAAAGTCCCCCAAATTTCCTTGTCTCAGTTTTCGTATCTAGAAATGGGTCCATTACTCCGACGGGCTCCAAATGTCTAGGAACTCCGCTCCTGCACCAGGGCGCCCTGCCCGCCCAGCTCGCGGGGCACTAATTTCCACTTGGTCTTTTGGGGTCTCCAGGGTTTCTGGGCCCCTTCTTTACGACCCCTTTCCCACTCCGGTCCTCCCTTCCTCCGCTTTGGGTCCCAGGGGGCTGTTGTGAAATAAAGTGTGGCGAGAGTTGTCGGGCCTCAGCTTCCCTGGTGCCGCCCGCAGGTGGCCGGCCTAGGTAACCCTGGACTGCCCGGCACGAGACATAGCGTGGGCATGGCGGTGCTGGGGCACCTGGCGCGGCGGCTGGGTGTGGCGGAGAGCTGGGCGCGCGACCGTCGCTGCGCCGCCGACCTCGCCCTGGCCTCGCTCGGGGATGTCCAGCTGGTCCTGCTCCGGCCACGGCGGCTCATGAATGCCAACGGGCGCAGCGTGGCCCGGGCCGGTGAGTTGAGGGCACCAGCGGTGGGCCGGCCGGCAGGGAGGGCGCAGAGGCTAGAGAGGGCATTCTGGGCTGCGCAGACCTGTTCACGTCCAGGTGCCTGTTGAGCTCCAGTTACTGCATGGCCTCGGAGATTGTGGGCGCCTCAGTTTCTTTACATGTGAAGTGGGGTTAATTGTGGCTCCTCCTTGTGGGAGCCCTGAGTTGGGACAATGCCCTCTGGGCAGATCTGCAGTAACCAGGGCCACTGTTTCCCTCCCTGTGCCAAGCGGAGCTGTTCGGACTGACGGCTGAGGAGGTCTACCTGGTGCATGATGAGCTGGACAAGCCCCTGGGGAAACTGACCCTGAAGCTGGGGGGAAGCGCCAGGTGAGGCCCTGAGCCAGTTTAGGTGGGATAGGGAAGCTAGCCTCCCAGTTGGAGTGGTGTAGGGGTGCCGACTCGGTCTCGGCAGGGGATGGGGTGCTCTGATCCCAGTCTGGGCTGGGAGGGCTGAAGGGTGCTCCCCCAGGAAAGCACTGACTGCGCCTCCCATATCCCTTGAAGGGGCCACAATGGAGTCCGTTCCTGCATTACCTGCCTCAACTCCAATGTGAGTCCACTGCTCTGAACTGCTGTGGGTCGGGTGGGCCAGCATAGGGCCCCAACACTCCTCACCAAAGTTCCCTGGGCCCCTTTGCTTCCCAACAGGCAATGCCACGGCTGCGGGTAGGCATAGGGCGCCCTACGCACCCTGACGCAGTGAAGGCGCATGTGCTGGGCTGCTTCTCCTCCGCAGAGCAGGAGCTGCTGCCTCCATTGCTGGAACGCGCCATCGACCTGCTCCTGGACCACATCCGTGAGCGAAGCCAGGGGCCCTTGTTGGGCACCTGATACCAGTGGACACAGCTTCCTGCCTGACTGCCATGCCCACACACCCAGCCATATCCACAGAGGTGCCACGCCAACCTGTGGTATTCACTTTTTATATAAATCTTCTCTGGGCTGCTCCAGGCCTCCTACAGATTAAAGGGGGGGACTGTAGCTGGATTGGTCCATTTCTGGGATAGGGGGTTGGTCTTCTCTCTGTGTCTTACTTAGAAAGTAGGGAAATGTCAGGAAGACTGAACTTTTTGAATCTTTTTGAAGAACCAGAGGTGTGGATCTGTAAGATTAAAGATGCTGGCTGAGAAGCCAAGGCCTCCTCAGGGGGTTTTTACCCATCCCCTGCCTGTGGAGGAGGGGCCCAGCAAGACCCCCTCCCAGGGGCTGTGTGGGCATGCCTTAGCCCACTGAGGCGTTGCCACACCTTTCTTCAGCCCATTTCACAGATGGGGAAATGGAGCCTTAGAGAGGTCCATTCACATCTCCAAGGCCACACAGCTGCAGTATGGCCGAGCCATGATCTGCACCCAGGGCTGGCTCCATCTTGCTGTCATCAGGGCCCCAGCACTCACCTCAGAGATGCTCTGTGTGTTGAAGATTCCCACACGGGTAGTATGAGAGAGCAGCCTGAGGTCCTCAGGGTTGGGTGGGATGTGGGCCCTTCGAGGCACCAAGCCCAGGTCCCCCAGCTGGTAGGGTGTGATACTGGACAGCTGCTGCAGCAGACATCCCATCTTGGGTGGCTGGGTGCTGTGGGGAAGGGGCTGATGTCATCACCTCCATTTCACAAATGAGGCTGAGGTTTAGAAAGGCTTTGGGGAGCACACTTCCGGCCCAGGGTCACTGAGGACAGCCCTTGGACAAGTCCCATGGCTGCTTCTGAGGTCACACAGGGTTACCTCTCCTTGCGCGGGCCATGGGGCTGGTTCTCCTGGCGGGGACACGCAACCATCTGGGGGCTTAGGAACATGGCCGAGCTGAGCACGGCCAGCAGTTGCTGCAGCATTTTCTTGTGTTGCTGCTGGAACACTGCATCAGAATTGCTGTCTTCTGGCTCTGGTTGCATCTGCCAGGGGGGACAGGGGCGGGCCCATGGGGATCAGGCCCAGAGTGGCCCCAACACCCACCTCTGGGCAACTCCAACCCTAGTGCCTGTTTCTGCAAAGTGTTCCCTGGCTGTGGTGGGATACCCATCCTCCAAATGGGAAGACTGAGGCCCCAGGCCTTCCACGGCCTCAGAGAAGGACTCCATCCAGTTCCTTTGAGACCTTGATGGGATCTTTGAAGTGCAGAATCAGAAAAGGACGGGCTTGCCAGGAGTCTCTCAGGGGAAAGCTGAGGTCTCTGACCCTTGCCTGGCCTCCACATGGCCCAGTTATCTCTGAGCACTTTCTGTCCTTGGCCCAGTCCCCCCGCCGTCACCCACTTCCAGTTTACCTGCAGAATGTCCTGTAGGAAGGAGGTGGCCTGGGCCAGGGCTGTCTCCAGGCTTGCCCGAACCTTCTGCTCCTCGGTCAGCTCCTGCTGGAGCCGCTGCACCTCGGCTTGCAGCTGCTCCAGCTGCAGGCTCAGCTGGTCTTGCTGGCTCCTGGCCCGGGACCAGAGGAGTCAGCTGCCTCCCTGCCCCAGTGCGATGGGCTCTGCCATTTCTCTTTAGCCCACGGGGTCCTCATCCAGCCCCAAGCCTCAGCCTGTTGGACAGTGGAAGCCTCGAGGCCCCTCTAGAGAGGGGACGTCACTGGCCTGTGTCATGTGGCCATACAGGGATGGGCTCCTGCCTGTCCCACCGCTTGTCCCTCTGTGGGCCACACACACCTCAGTTCCTGCTTGTCCTTCTGCAGCTGCTTCAAGCTCTGCTCCAATGGGCTCAGCAGGAGGCACAGCTGCTCAGCCTCCACTCTGCCCTTCTGTTGCTCGTGGCATTTCTCCCTCAGCATGAGGATGATCTGTGGGTACAGGCAGGTGGCCATGCCCTGGGCCCGCCCACCCCCGCTGCCCCAGCTCCAGGCTCAGCCTGGGCTCAGACCATTGTGCAGAGAGGCCACATCTCTGGACAATGGCTGGGCAGAGCCCCCAGCTCTCCGGGAGGGAGCTCCACTTCCAAGTTATGGGGGCTTTAAACCAAATTCAAGAGAAACCGGAGCTGGGGCCAGCAGCCCAGAACCCCAACAAGGAGGGCCCCATCCCCTCACTGCTGCCTCCCTCACGACTTGACTCCAGCTTGGTCTGCCCCTGCCAGGCTGTGCTGCCCTGATGGCAGGGCTGGCAGGCACACCTTGTGGTGACCTCTGCTGCGGTGAGCCATGATCTTCTTGGTGCTCTCCAGCACCTCCAGCTGTTGGCACAGTTTGTCTTGGGCGCCCTTGAGCCGCTCATTCTCCTGCAGGAGCTGCATGCCGTGCCGGGAGGCCTTGGACAGCTGCAGGGTCATGGTGTTGTTCTCCCGGATGACCCGCTTTGTCGTGTTCCACATCTGGTCAGTGGCCACTTTGCGGAACTCAGTGGCCACCAGGTTCACACGCTGGATGATCTCCTTCCGCAGTCTAGTCAAGATGGGATGGGGGTGGGGGGTTGGGCAGAGTGGGCACAGGCCTCAGGCACCCCCTTCCTATGTGGGGGTCCCCAGAGCACCTAGAGCCACCTCTCTGCTCTTCCCCCAGGAGGGGAGAGGCTACAGGCAGGAGGCTTTTCACTGTAGACCTTTGTACCTTTGGAATTGTGAACCAAATCAATGTATTATTTATTACCTATGAAATAAATGTGATTTAAGTCACCGAATGTGGCAAAAGGAAGTCCAGGGGCTCTCCAGTGCGGCATGAGGACTAGAGCTGGGAGCTTGTTTGTTTTTCTCCCACCCTCCAGAAATCAGCCAGGAGTCTGAGGAACCGCAGGGTGGGGAGTGGATGAGCTAGTGCAGTCCCCCCATTTAGAAGCCGAGGTGAGCGGCAGTCCGAGGCCTGGGCTGTTTCTGGCCCCACCGTTGACAGCTGCCAGCACTTGGCCTGCCCACCTGTCCTTGTCCAGCACCGACTTCTTCTCCAGGTTGTACACGTAGTTCTTGTATTCCTTCCCCTGCGTCTGCAGCTGGTCCTCCAGCCATGTGAGTTTCTCCGTGAGCTCCTCTTTCTGCAGCCGGAACTCCTCCAGGGCTGCCAGCTTCCCACCTGCCCCACCAGGCCTGGTGAGGGGCCGCCTGGGGAGGGCAGGGCCCAGGGTAGCGAGGGCCTGAAGCAGCCCCCTCCCCCTCCCTTCCTCTTACCTTCCCTGTGGTTCCTGACCCAGCAGGGCCAGACCCCTGTCCCTACGCCGCCGAGTCCTGCCCACCTGTATTGCTTTAGTCTGGAAAGCTCTCTCTCTTCCTCTCCACTCATCTTTCCGAGCCTCATTCAGGTTTCACCTCTGAGAAGCCTTTGACACTCTCCCCCACCCCCCTCTCATGAAAGTGACGATGACAGTAGGTACCCAACTTGAATACCTTCTCTGGGCCAGGCACTGATGCTGTCATTAAGCCTAAAAACAGCTGAGTGACCTTGGCCAAGACACTTAACCTTCCTGAGGTGCTCCCTCACCTACCAACAGGTGTGATAGTATTTCCTGCCTTGTAGGATTGCTGGGACCATGACGGAAGGTAATGTGGGAAGCAGAACAAAGCTGTTGTTACTCAAGGCAGACATATTATTCCCATTTCCCAGGTGGGAAAACAGGGTCAGAGAGAAGTGCTTGCCCGAGGCCACAGACAGTGGTAGAACCAGGACTTGAGCCCAAAGAGCCAGAGCCTCGGATTCCCTGTCCCTGCGGGGTGTGCCCCCAGGCCCCTCTCACCAAGGATGATGTTCTCTGTGGTGAGCTGGTCCTTGGTCTCCTGGAACTCATGGCGCACCTGGGCTAGCTGTGCCTCGAAGGCATCCTTCTCCAGCTCCCTGGCCAGCTGCATGCTTTGGAGCTGCTTGTTGAGGTCCGTGATCTCATCCACCCTCTGGTTGAGCGCACGCTTGAGGAAGGCCACGATCTCCTTTTTGTTGCTGGCCAACTGCTCAAACTCCTGGCGTAACAGCTTCTCTTGGATGGCCAGCTCATCCCACTTACGCTGGTACCTGAGACGAGGGCCGGGCAGAGGTGCAGGGGTCTGGGGATGGCATGCCTCCGTGCACAGGGCCTGCTCCCCAGGACCCTCCTGCAGAGGGGCATTTGAGGTTCCTCAGTTGGAATTCAGCCTCATCTCCCCCAATCTGTGCTCATGACCACAGCCAGCGCTTGTGCTCAGTGCTTTATGTTCATTACGTCACTACCTGTAAGTCCCATGAGGGCCTTTGTTATGTTCATAGCTGTGTCCCCAGCACCTAGGACAGTGCCCGGTACACAGAACTCAGTGTGTATTGAATTCTCACAACAACCCATAAGGAAGTGGGTTCTATGATTATACCCATTTTACAGATGAGGAAACGAAGGCTTAGAGGGATGAAGAAACGCCTAGTTAGTAAGTGGCAAAACCAGAACTGAAGCTGAAGTCAGTCTGACCCGAGTTGAGGCTCTTAACCACAATGCCTACTGCCAGTCGACCAGCTGCGTACCTGCACACACTTCCACACTTTGCAATCTCAAGCCTTTGCTTCGGCTATCTTCCTTACCCTCAACCATTGAGTGGTACCTCCGTGGTGGAGCCTTCTTGGCCCTGAGCTACATTTGTGACTCACTTTGGTGCCCTCCTATAGGTTGGCCCTTGTCCCACTGGGTGGTCGAGACTTGATGTGTCTGTCTTCTGCACTTGGCAGACCCCTGACCTTCACCACTGTACTCTTGGGGCCTGGCAGAGGGGCTTGGCAAATAGTAATGACCAAATAACTGCTCCAAATGCATTTTTCCCAAATCTATTTGGTCTCAGCTTGACGGAAGCTCGTGAATTTTTTTGAGTATCACATAATCGATTTATTCGTTTCCAATGGAATAGTTGGTAGAAGTTATTTGGAAAGATGTTTTACTTCAGAATCTACTCAACCATCTTTTGCATGGCCACTGCCTAGAAGGCACTGCAGGGTACAGAGCTGAATGGCCTGCTTTGTGGAGCAAGGAAGCAGCTTGGTGTAGGGCAGTCGGGGGGGGGGACCAGGGCTTCCATTCTGGCACCTCCTTCTGGGGGTGACTCCCCTTCCCTGAGCCTCAGTCCCACCACTTGTGCAATGGGGGTGATGTCAAGACCTCTCTCGTACCGTTTCGGGGACACAGTGAACCATCTGGCACACACGACTCAACATTAGCTGCATCTGCAGGCTCATCAGGGGATGAACCACCGCCTGTGTCACCAAAGGGGTTTGTCTTTCAAAGGTCACCCTGAGACTGGACTAGTGCATCATAACTGAGAAGAAACTAAGTTTTAAAATAAAAATGATCAAGTAAGTGTGTCTTGGAAGAGTCAGAGAACCCCTCAGCCCCAGGCGAGCCTGCACAGTGGCCAGCTCCGAGCGGAGCTGCTGACCCAGCAGGACCAGCCTCCGTGCCTGTCCACCCACCGGGCCAGCCTGTCCTCCAGGTCTCGGATCTGGATGTGGTAGAACTCCCGGGTCTCCTCCGCTAAAGGCATTTCCATGACCATGCTGGAATCCTTCTTGCCACCTTTCTTCTTGACCTTGGGCTCCTTGGCTCCCTTACTTGCCTTCTTTTTGGGAGCCATGGCTAGTGGCAACCGCTACTCCAGGGCCCCTTTAAGAGAGGCTAACTGGTTGCTAAGGAAGTTGGTCTCATACATAGCAACAAACTGACGAATGAGGCAAGGCTTAAAGGGACCCTGCCTTCCTGGCAAGACTGGGCACTGGCGAATGGTTTCTGCCGGCACTGGCGAATGGTTTCTGCCTCCAAGGCTGACAGCACCACAGAGACCCCCGGCTGCAGTGTCCCAGGCGATGGTGTCTCAGCGACCCGGATGTCAGGCTCTCGGGGCACTCTTTGGGGCTCTGGGCAGATCCTTCCCCCAAGTATGAATAAGTGACATGGAAATAGTAGAGTGGGTCAGAGCCCCAGAAACCACCAGCCTGCCCCTTTGTGGCCATCAGAGGGGGCAACTTCCCCAGAGCTCGCCAGGACCAGAAGAAGCTGGTCATCTGGCCCCCAGGCCTAGGAGCCCCTCCCTGAGACCAGCTTAATTCTTTGGTGATGCAGCTACACAGCAGAATCATCCTCTTAGTTCACCCAAAGTGGGGTTGGGGAGGCAGTAAGTATGGTAAGAAATAGATGTTTTACATAGGAGGCTCCAATACTGGGGTCTCAGGACATCCCTGTCCTGAGGCTGGCTCGGTTTTCCACAGGGCTCAGTGGACGTGCTCCATCTACTCATGAAAACAAACACTGACCCCTGAAAACAAAGGCCTGCTCTGTAGCTTTGGCCTAGGATGGCAGCATCCTGGGGGTGGGGGCGGTAAGTGTCCAGCTGCCAGGTGCCCTGGATGGCAGCCGTGTGCCCCAACCAGGCTCTCGCCTCTCTGTGCTCCATTTCCAGCCCTCATCTCCAGCCAGCCATGCCTGCTTGTGGCCCAGGCACTTCCTGGGACAGTGGCAGGTTCTCTTCATCCCTGTTGTCCCAAGACTTGGCACTTAGCAAGAGATGATGCAATCCATCCTGAAAGTCCGGTGGCTAGACAAGGGGAAGCTCAGATTACTTCAGTATCTGGGGATGGTTTAAGTGGCTGTATCTTGTGAACTGAGGGGAGCCATCCTTGCAGTGGGTCTCAGGGGATGAGGAGGGGTCAGAAACACAGGAAGGTGGGTGTTTACTTTTGGCAGCGAGGCAGGTTGGAGCAGTGATTGGTTAAAAGTGGATTCAAGAGCTCACTTGGGAGCACCAGCTCTGAGCAGCAGGGCCGTGGTTCGGATCCCACATTGAGGGCCAGTGACGTTCGCCCTCTACAGCTAAGATGGTAAACAACAGCTCGACCTGGAGCTGGGCTGCTGTGAGTCGCCTGCGATGGCGTAGGCTGCAGCAGGGCTGCAGTGGGCTGCCATGAGCTATGTGAGTGGCTGGCAGCCAGTGTGAGCGGCTGATAGCCGGTGTGAGCTACCAGGAGCCGCTGTGAGTGGCCGACCAATGACTGGCGACTGATTGCCTCAGCCGGGAAGAATGCAATGATAATACCAACATGGGCCAGTGAAGCGACGTCCTCCACAACTAGACTGAAGAACAAAACAGCAATTTGTCCACCTGTCTGTTCCCCTTCCCCATTCCCCAACGCTGTTCCCCTCCCCGCAATTCCCCAATAAAAACATCTTTAAAAAAAAAAGTGGATTCAAGTTTGTTTGCCCAGGACTGCAGACAAGGTGACACTGGCCCCAGAGGAGAGGCCAGGCCCAGGGCCCCAAACTTGAGGCCAGCAGGGGGCTGCCCCTTCATTCATCCAGCTGGAGATTTGCTCTCCTCCCTGTCCCCTCCCTGACCTGAATGGCTCCCCCTACAGGAGCCTAGCCCAGGCAAAGGATCCCCACAGTGACCCCCAGCTGCCTCTCCCGACTCTTACCTGAGGCCCGTCTCAGGGGGTAGCTTCGAATCCCCAGCCAGGTGAGGCGTCATGGCCAGCAGTCCCCCAGGCTGCCTGGAGCCCACAGGTGGCAGCACGGGGACCTGTACTCCCTCCTGTGTTGGTACCAGGGCTGCTCCTGGGGGTCAGGGCCAGGCTTATAAATACGGCTGCAGGGGGTGCCCAGTTAGCTCAGTTGGTTAAAGCGTGGTGCTGATAACACCAAGGTTGCCGGTTCAATCCCCACATGGGCCACTGTGAGCTGCGCCCTCCCTAAAAGAGTCAACATTGGGCCGGCCGAGTGGCGCAATGTTTAAGAACTGGCTTGGGATGCCAGAGGGCCCCGGTTCAGATCCCACGTATGAGGGCCAGTGACACTGCCCTCTACAGCTAAGATGCTGAACAACAGCTCAACCTGGAGCTGGGCTGTCGTGAGTTGCCAGCGACGGCGTAGGCTGCAGCCCCTGTGGCAGTGGGCTGCCATGGGCTACCGTGTGTAGCCAGCAGCCAGCGTGAGCGGCCAGCAGCCAGCGTGAGCAGCTAGCAGCCGCAGTGAGCGGCCGTCCAGAAGCCGGCGACTGATCTGCCTCGCTCGGGAAGAGCGCAATGATGGTGCCAACTTGGGCCAGTGAAGCAATGTCCTCCACAACTAGACTGAAGAACAAAACGACAGCAACTTTTCTGTTCCCCTTCCCCCAATTCCCCAGTGCTGTTCCCATCCCCAATTCCCCAATAAAAACGTTAAAAAAAAAAGAGTCAACATTGCCATTGTAGCATGAAAGCAATGTGTTACCAATGACCATGGCTGTTCTCCAATAAAATTAAAATTTAAAAAAATGCGGCTGCAGTCACAGGGCAAGGGTGCCCAGCTGGACTTCCCAGCCATCCTAACGGGGTGGGGGTGGGGAAGGAGGTGCCACAGGTCAGAGGATGTCCCTTTCTGGAGTTTGTTTGGAGATCTGCTCCAACGCTCCCTATTCTGGGGCCACAGGCCATCCGCTCCCCAGCGACACCTTCTCATTGCTGCTTCTCGGACTGTCTTCTGGTCCTACACTGGGGACTGGGGACAGTGGACCTAGAGCTGCTGGGGCTGCCGGACTTTGTGGTCTGGGTCTTCTGAGAGGAGTCGGCGCAGTGCACACAGCCTGGCAGTGACCGGTGGGCTGGGGACACTGCCACCTCTGGGAGGCTCTGGAGAGAAGGAAGCCTGGCTTGAGGGGACAGGGGGGCCAGGCATCATAAAACATGCCTGAGGCCTCGAGCACTTCTGTGGGGCACATGGCGTGAGAGATCCATTCACCCAGGGTGTGTGTGTGGATATAATACTACCCCCACAGTGTGAGCTCATGAGGACCCAATCTGTCTTGTTCACAGCTGCATCCCGAGCCTAGGATGAAAGCTGGCACATAGTAGGTTCTCAGCAAACATCTGGCTAACTGACTAAGACCAAACGGGGACAGAATTCCCAAACAGCACAGTAAGGAAGTGGATGGACCCTCATCTCAGCAAAACAACAATTTAACTGGTGAAGATTTTTTTTTTTAAAGCAACAATCATTTAATGTGTCTGGAGATTGTTCTAAGGGTATATAGTAAATGGGAAACACATCCAAGAAAATCCAAGTCTTCACAAGAATTAGTGTGGTATTTGAGCAATGACCACTCCCTCATCTGCAGGGGTAGCATAAGAAATACATATATTTGCTCTTTGCCCCCCAGGTTTCTAGCACAGAGCTCCTAAAACCCTTGGGATTTTCTGATTGAGTGGAGTATCTTTTGTTATTCATAACAAGCCCCCTTCTGACCATATTTGACTTTATGCTAATGAGGTGATTCCAGGGGTGGGGGATAGCTTAAGAATGGGGCTGCTTACCAGAAAGACCTTGCACATAACTAGAGGGTTAGAACATTTAGCAGATTCCCCCAGCCCCGCCCCACCCCCACGAATGGGAAGGCGGGAGGGGCTGGAGGCTGAGCTTAATTACCAGCAGCCAATGATTTAACTAACCTTGCCTACTGGGTGAAATCTCCATAAAAACTCCTAAACTGTGGGCTTTGGGGAGCTTCCAGGCTGGTGAACATGTGGAGGTGCTTGGAGGGTGGTGTGCCTGGAGGGGGCATGCAGGCTCTGGGCCACCGCACCCTCCGTATCTTGCCCCATACAGCCCTTCCATTTGGCTGTTCTTGAACCGTATCCTTTATAATAAACCAGTTAAAGTAAGTAAAGTGCTTTCCTGTGTTCCATAAGTTGTTCTAGTGAATTATCAAACCTGAGGAGGGGGTTGTGGGAACCCTCAAATTTGTAGTCAGCTGGGCAGAAGTGTGGGTAGCCTGGACACCCCATTGGAGGCTAGCATCTGAAATGGGGGCAGTTTTGTGGGATTGAGCCCTTGACCTGTGGGATCTGCACTAACTCTTGAGTAGTTAGTGTCAGAATTGACTTGAACAAGCGGACACCCAGTTAGTGTCAGAGACTTGGAGACATGGTGTGGTGTGGAAAAGCGACATGTGTTTGGTGTCAGAAGTTAACATGCTCCTCCTCCGCCCAGCTCTGTGTAACGGAAGGTTTACCTCGGAGGGATGCACTACTTCGGGTAGGTTGTGGTCGAGAAGATGGGGCCTCCCTCTCCTCCCAGCTCCTAGTATGAGGCCACAGTCTCACCCTGGGGAGGAGCAAGAGGGTGGCCTTTCTCATCCTCCTCTGCTAGCCCTGTGCTGCAGAATTTCTATTCCAAGCAAGTGCCACAGGGAGGACCGTCCCACACAGACCCACTTGTAGGGCGGAAGCTCTACTCCAGATGCGGCGGGGTGAGAATACTTGGACCCCGATGGCTCCCGCCTCAGCTAGCTCATAGGGTGGAGGTTTCGCATTGTGGGGGCAAGCTGAGAAGACCAGGTCACCCTAGTGACCACTTCTGACCCAGGAGTGACTCCTAGGAATTCAGACTTTAAAATACTTCCAGTTATCTCTAGAAGTGAGGAAGACTATGCATGTCCAAGGCTGTGCCTCTCATGAGTGATCAGAGAGGGGATCTCCAAGCTATACTCCTCCTCCTTGGCTGAATGTGGGACCAAAAAACCCCAGAAACTCTCTGAACTGTGACAGCTAGCAGCCTCTAAGTCACATACACACACCCAATGGTAAGAGGTAAAAAACTAATGCACTAAGTGGGCTTAACCCCAACCTCTGACCAAAAAGTGATTTATGCCAACTCAGGGATGACCCCTAAGTAGCAAGCCTAAAGATAAAAAAAAGCAAGGGGGAAATCTGAGCAGGGACATCAGAAACTGTACTCGGAGAGGGAAATAGACTCCTTAGAATTAGTTCAGCTGAGTAACTAATCAAATAGTAACCAAGCAAATAACACCCCCCTAAGGGGGGGTTGTAAATACTTAGAGTTGCTGCAATATATTACCTGAAATATCCAGTTTTCAACAAAATGGTATGAGGTATGCAAAGAAATATAAAGATATGGCCCATACACAGAGGGGGACACAGTCACTAGACTATCTCCAAGGAGGCCTAGATGTTTGACTTACCTGACAAGACATTAAATCAACTATTTTAAATATGTTCAAAGACCTAAAGAAAACCCTGTCTAAAGAACTAAAGGAAATTCTGAGAACAATGTCTCACTAGATAGAGAATAACAATAAAGGGAAAGAAATTATTTTTTAAAAAATTCTGGGGCCGGCTGAGTGGTGTGTTGGTTAAGAGCTGGCTTGGGATGCCAGAGGACCCCGGTTCAGATCCCACATAGGAGGGCCAGTGACACTGCCCTCTACAGCTAAGATGCTGAACAACAGCTCAACCTGGAGCTGGGCTGCCATGAGTCGCCGGCGACGGCATAGGCTGCAGTCCCTGCTGCAGTGGGTTGCCATAAGCTACCATGTGTAGCCAGCAGCCAGCGTGAGCAGCTAGCAGCCACTGTGAGCAGCCGTCCAGAAGCCTGCGACTGATCTGCCTCACCTGGGAAGAGCGCAATGATGGTGCCAACTTGGGCCAGTGAAGCAACGTCCTCCACAACTAGACTGAAGAACAAAAGGACAGCAACTTGTCTGTTCCCCTTCCCCCAATTCCCCAGCGCTGTTCTCATCCCCTAATTCCCCAATAGAAATCTTTAAAAAAAAAAATTCTGAAGTTGAAAAGTAAATAACTGAAATGAAAAAAATTCAGTAGAGGGACTCAACAGATTTTAACAGGCAGAAGAAAATATCAGCAAACTTGAAGATAGGTGAATTGAGATTATCCAGTTTGAAGGGCAGAAAGAAAAAAAATTAAGAAAAATGAACAGAGCCTCAGGGACCTGTGAGACATCATCAAACATACCAACATATACATAATGGGAGTCCCAGAAAAAAGATAAATGGGAAGAATAAAATTTGAAGAAATAATGGCTGAAAACTTCCCATATTTGATGAAAAACATTAACTTGCACATCCAATAAGCTCAATGGACTTCAAGTTGAATAAACTCAAAGAGATCCACACCTAGGCACACCATAGTCAAACTGTAGAAAGACAAAGACAAAAGAATCTTGAAAGCAGCAATAAACTGCTCATCACATGCAAGGGCTCCTCTATAAGATTAACAGCTGACCCCTCGTGAGAAACCAGAGGCCAGAAGGCAGTGGAATGACATTCAAAGTGCAGAAAGAAAAACTGTCAACCAAGAATTCTATATTCAGCAAAACTATCCTTCAGCTCAGCATCACTCTCTCTTTCACAGGCATCAGTCACAGGGCGGGGACAAAGTCCCTCATAAAGATCACGTGGATTTGAGCCTGCGTGATGCTGAGGTCTGTGTCCCTAGTTACTCTGCCATTCTGCCTCCCAGGAACGAATGCCTGGCATCACATTAAGGTGGGCACGCAGGCCTCTTAGCAGGGTCTGGCTGAAAAGCGTAGCCTGGACCTGGGCCCCTAGAAAGGCAGGGCGACTGGCTGCAGCTCAGGGATCTGTCTTGGTTTAGGACTGCTTATTGATTCAGCGCTATCTGCTTTGGTTTGTTTCAGAACCCCGTGCCCCTGCAAGAATATTTAACACCATTGGAGACTTTTTGGAGAAATGACCTTCAGGCTCCATCTGTACACAGAAGTCCAGGAGAACCAGGACTTCTGTCACACTTGTTTGCCTTTGGGTGGTAGTGAGGGGGGTGGAATAGAGAGAGGTGCCAGGGACCCTGAGTCAAAGGATGTCAGAAACAACCAGGGACAGAGACTACTGTGGGCCTGGAGGATACAGATGGCCCTGGGAAGAGGGAGCAAGCAGTATTTACTTTGCTTTCATGTAGACACCGTGTAGAACAATTCAGAATTTAAAAATTCTGATCTTGGATCTTATTCCAAGGTGTTTTGGTGAAGCCAGTATGTGCGTTACTGCATCTCAGCTTCCTCATCTGTAAAATGGAAAGGACCCCCTCAACAGACAAGACACCTGAGGGGACCGACACGGAGCAGGAAATCAACAGATGGCCACTGTCATCGTTACCTCCCTTAAGGCAATTTTCACCGGACAATAGCTGGGTTGGGGAGGTGCAACTTCCACCGGCTGGCCTTGACCTGTTAGATTTCTTAATGCTACGAAGGAGATCAGGGTTTGAATGAGTCAGTGACTGGATACAAGAGTTCCTACAAAAAAACCCCACTTCCCTATGCCATGTTCTAGCAGGTTTCCAGTGTGAGCCCAACCCTAATTTAAGGGTCTACACCGCAGGCTGGGTCAAACTCATTGCAGTCTCCCCAAGTCACAGATGGCCTCCAAGACCAGCGGGACACACGCCAGCTTCCGATCTGGCAAGTTCATTAGAAGGATAGATGCTGTGGCAGTGGGAACAGAGGATGAGAGCAGTAACGCTGATAAAGTGACCTCATTGCATGACCTACGTACACCGTCACCCCATGCTCGAGGAGGGAGCATCTACAACGGCAGAGCTCTGCACTCTCTGAGATAGAAACCTTTTAGATAGGGAGAATCAGGGCGATGGAAGGGCTACCTCGTCTACAGGCAGTGCCCTGTTGCTGCTAGGGGCCCAAGACAAGCTTTATGGATTGTCTCCAAATGTCAGACACCTAGAGATCCTAATGCAAGTAATGGTGCCTTGGATCCAGGAGACTCTTAAGCCGTGGTTGGGGTTGGCTGGTGTCCTCGCCAGGGACCAGTGCAGAAGCCTTTCTCCCTCCACTCCCCACAGTGAAGCCAGACCAGAGTCACCCTGGACACGTGAATGGGCACTGATTTATTTATTAGACTCGAGTGCTTTAGTACAGAACAGTACAGAGATGATACATGTTTGTGCTTCAATACTTTTAAACACTGAGATTCTGATAATTTCAAGGTAAACAAGTTTCAAGACAGACTAGCTTTTTTTAAAATATCCTTTTGATAAATTATTTTTATATAAATAATAGACAAAGGAAAACCAACATGTTCGACAAACAAGGTCCTGAAGCGTGAGCATCATTTGGTCAAGGGGAGGGGACAAAACAAGCAGTAACAGTAAGAAACAAACCAATGCAAGTACCTACAGTTCTGGCCTAAGGAAATGAGATCGATATCTTAAGGGGGAGAAGGGAGACAGACCTGAAAACTAATCTGAGTGCGAAGGGGAGATTTCAAAGCCTTGAGAAGAGAACAACACCACAATGCATCTACCAGGCGGGCGAGGAACCTATCCTGAAAGGAAAGCGGTGGTGGGGGTGTTAACTAGCATATACCACGTTTGCAATGACATCACGAGACAGTAATATACACACGGTCTGCAGGAGTTAAAGGGTGGCGGGGGAGGAGGGCCGGGCAGGGGACATTTTTGTGACTTCCACTGTCATTATATTTCACGACAACAGCAGCAGAACGAATGGTGCGCCCACTCCCGAGGAATGAGAACTGCTGAGTCTTGAGGAGGACGAGCCATCCTTGCCTGTGTTTGCTTCTTTAATTTTTGCATCAGAGCTAAATTTTATACAGCTAAGTTTTTATACAGAGAATAAAATGATCGTTTTCTCTTACAAGCACGACAACATACGACCCTGCGCTACAAAAAATAAAGTATTATGAAGTGTCTTAAACTGAGGGTAATCTGAGTGGGAAAAGGTCTGTATAAATCCGACGGGCTACTCTTCCAGCCACTTGATGTCTTAGGGGACGGACCCTCTCTCCAGGTAAGGGCCCTCTAACCAGTAGCCTGCAGAACCCAGGCTTTACCCCAGGCTGACCCCACTAAGAAAGAGGTGATAAAGTGATGCCTGGGGAAGGAGGGAGTCCGGTCAAAAGGAACAGGCCTAACCGCTTCTCCAAGAGATGAATGTTCCCAGTGGGAGCTTGCTCTCACTTGTCCGGGCATGGTGACTTGGATGGTAGAACGACTTCCCCCTAGGAACACAGCACTGTGGACATGGGCCAGGGAGGGTGCTGTGACAGGTTGGGTACTGACTGGGTATCGGCTGGCACTCAGCCTGACCATAAGGACACCTCAGCCCCCACCCACAGCCACAGCCCAAAAGGTACGAGCCCCTAGGGTAAGCAAAGAGGTTGGTTCCAGCTCAAACCTCCCGAGAAGCCACCTGATCTTCACTTCCAAGCTTATCTGGATGACAGCAGGCACTGAGGGGTAGGAAATGGAGTAAAGATAACAGATTAATCCTCAGTTTGAAACACTCCCCGAACAGACATCTCTATGAGTCCCAACAAGAACAGGAACAATCCAAGGCAGGTTTTTAAAAACACCCAAGCATCTACCTTCCCATACTCAAGCAATTTGCACATGTCGTACTGGGTTATGTACAAGGTCACGGAATCATAACCAATGGGGAGACGGTGTGTCCATTCATTCAAACAGTCCCGAAACTTGCCCAGCAGCGTGCCACTTACACATGAACTTCTCCTCTTAGGATACATACAGAAGAGAACTCTTTTTAAAAAAACATAATGCATTATTTCCTTTTGTTTCCAAGGAGAAGAGGGCATCATTAAACACGAGAACAGTGGCACGGTGCCGGCCAGGGCGTGCAGAGCTGGGGGGATGGAGGGAGAGGGGTCAGCAACGTAACCAAGGTGGCCAGCGGCAGGGGCTGCGGAGCAGTGGGGAAGGGTTCGGTTTTTGGAGGGGTGGCTTATTTTTTTAACTGCTTATTTCTTCATCTGTTTTATTCAGTTTCTTCAGCGTGTCCAGCAGTTTCTGTGGGGTGAGAATGTGCGTGGATCCTGGGGGAGGCAGAAAAGAGAGTGAGCTTATGGCTGCGAGTCCTGCTCTTCTAGATTCCCAGATCTGCATCCGCTTCCCCGCCCCCACCCTGGTCTTGGTCGGTGGAAGCAGGGAGAGGACTGGGGATGGGGGTGTGGGGCCATGTCAGGCCTGGGAAACATTTGGAAACTGTGGATAAACAAAACACATCCTCTGGCTCAGGCAGGGTCCCAGGCTGCCCCCAGGAAGGAGCACGCCTCTCAGTCAGGGCTCAGCGCTGTCTGCCAGGGGGCAGGGCAGCTACATTTAGAACTCAAGGTGAAGCCAGGGAGAGAAATTCCAAACCATAAGACAGGGTACAAGGTTGGGAATGGGGCAGGGGTTATACGGGGGCCTGTGTATGGAAAGAACGGTGCCTGGTAGGGAGGAAGTTGATGGGCAGAGCGCCCTGGGGGAAGCCACTGACCTCTGGGAGCCAGCTGTTTGGTACTGTCGTGGTGGGTGGGACCTCAGGTGTGAAAGGGAGAGGACCGGGGTACCTGAGGCCTTACCTTGCAGAGACCGCGCATTGTAAGAAATTAGAAATGCTTGCAAAAATTTAAGCTAATGGAATCAGATATACTTCTATGGCAAAAATAAAAAGATAAAAAATAAAAAATAAATGAAGTCCTTTTTCATAAGGAGAGAAAGAGATCTAGTAAGTGCAGTAAAAAAAGATGCATGGACCGTGTGGTTTGGACATGGACTTACTGAAACAGAACACAGTGGCTGGTGTGTGAGCATGAGGCCTGCATGCATGCAGCAGTGGGCTTCAAAGAAAGAAATCCTGGTGGGAAAGAAGAACTGAACGAAAGAGAACCGTACTTGAAAATGTGCCTCCCTGGAGATGCAGGCAAGGGAGCGGGCCTTCATGGGGCGAGGGGAACAGAAACCTCAGGATGCCAGATTTCCACCCCGAAGGCAGGGAAAGGCGGCTTTGGCTGGCTTGCCCGGGCCTGATTTCACATACCAGGGTCCCTATGCCTTTGACCACTACTTGCTCAGCTGACCTGTGGCTGACCACGTATGCCTTCTAGCACCGCAAGTGGCTCCACTGCTCTGAGGGTCCCTCTTATCCTACCTAACTGGAAGATGGTGAAATGTGAACGGTGGTCTCCAAACACCAAGTCATCCAAAAGACTCAAAGCTGTGGGTGGGACAGCAAGCTCTGCTAGGACAAAATCCTTCTTTCTTCGCTAATGGAATCTGAAAATCAGATGCGTTCTTACAGGTCAGCTGCTCTAGTTGTCTTTGGATTAAGCTGAAACAGACCTACTGACCCAATGTCCAGGGTTGTCACTGGGAATGTGTACATTTCAGAGCAGCCCAGGTGAAGGTGATGATTTGCCAGGTCTGGGAAACGGTGCTCCAGCCCAGCCGGCACCTACAGATGGGAGACTGGAGCCCAGAGCGGTGGAGTGCTTGATTGCTGCTGGTGGGTGGCACAGCCAGGCCCAGAAGCCATGCCACTGGGCTCAGTTCTGGGCACCTTGTAGTCTCCTGACCCCCAGAAGGGGACGTGCAAGTGATACTTAAGTAGCAGCTGGGCAATGGGATGGCCCTGAATTCAGTTTAAAATCTGAGCTCCACTGAAAAATGAAATTTGTCTGACTCCAAACTGGAATAAAGCACAATATTCAATGTAAAAAACCAAAAACTTCCTGCCGAGTGGAAGAGCTATACGAGGGCTCATCCAGCCTTTCAGCCCTCTTTCATTAGCCTCGGATACTCCCTAATGATCAATACTTTTAATAAACCCCCCAGGGTGTAGAGGTGAAGATCGAATCAACAGATTTCACTTCTTAGACAGTCTGGAGGGTGAGTGATTAGCAGGGTTTAAGACAGGCTTGGTGGACTCGGCCTCAGCGCGATCCATCCCCACTTCCTTTTCCCAGACCTGGGCAGCCAGCCTCAGCAGGAGAGGGAGCAGCGGGGCGAGGACAGCCAGGCGCTGGCACCTGCGAGCCTGCTGCGGACTCTCATTCACTGCTGCGTGGGAAAGCTCATCTAAAGGCTTTGTTACTGCAAATAGCGGTATTCGGGAGAAGACGACGTTCTGCACAGCCCTGGTCTCTGGTCACCTGGGCAATCACAACAGAAGGGGCAAGCCCGGTCTCAATCTGCTTTCAGGCGGCCTCCCTGGTAACTGGGCTTGGGGCCTCGCTTTTCCTTAACTGAACTTCCTACAACCTAACAAAGCATTTCAGAAGCCAAGGACTGTGTACAGCCAGTCTATTCAGGCTCGCTTTGCTCTGATGGCAGCTGAGACCCTCTCTGCTGATTGAACCTAAAACACAGGAAAACAGTTTGTGGCGAGACTTCTGAGGCAGGGGACCCAGAGCGAGTCCTAAGAGGAGCCCTTGGGGTCTGGGCTCGTGATTCTTTCAGACCCTGCAAGTGGTCTGCCATTGCCGCAGCCTCAACTCGTGTCCCTCTCTAAGTCTTAAAATACATCTTGCAGCAAACACAGTCCACCCACCTGCCATCTGCACACAGAACGAGGTATCTCTGATTACCAGCCTCCCAGGGTGCTTCTAAACAATGATTGTTTTTTAACAACTGCTTTTATTCACTGCCCCACTGGCGCTTTCTTGGGGAAGGCGGCCTGGGCCACAGCCAGCCCCAGTGTCCCGGCTCACAGCCACCTGCCATTTCCACCTTACTACTGTCCTGGGGGAGCCTTCCCTCTGCCAAGGAAGGAAAGAGAAGATCAACGGGCGCCTCCTGTTCTGACCATTAGAGCACGTCCTTTTTGGATGAACACACTCCCTTTACACAAACAAGCACCCTCTGACGTTACCTAGCCACGGCTCTGGTGGACCATTCCCCTGAGGTTCCGCACAATGTGGGAGAGTGGGCGGGACTGCGTGGTCTGAGTCACCGTCTGAATTACTGATTAGTCGGTCAGAGCTCGAAAGAGCCTAGGGCTCTGTGATCCAGCCTCCGGTGCTCCGCACACTTGGCCCAGTAAGTGGCAATGACCTGCAGTCACACAGGTGCTCGTGGCGGAGCTGGGGCCAGAGTCCAGGTCTTGCTCCTGCTCACAGGTGACTCACGTTCTGAGATTCACTGGGCCACGTCTCAGCCCAGGGGAAGGGGGCATTTGCAGGGCCCATTGTTGATGAGTCTATGAGGTCAGGGACCCAAAATGTGGCCTCTTCACAGAACGTGTAATGAAGCCAAAGCATGACTAACAAGACAATGAAATTCTTCCACATCAGTCTGCCGTTCAAGCTTGTTAAACGAGGTTCCCAGCACATATGCAGGACGGAAAGAGAGGAAGGAACAAGGACAAGAATAAAATCTGGGTAATCTACCAAACAGACGATGGGTTCCTAGGTAACTGAGATTAGGTACAAGCGTGGTGGGAGAGAGAAGACGCTCCTTAACGCTAAGAACAGATTTCTACCCAAAGGCTCTCAGATCTTACCAAAGGCTTCAGTTGGAAAGGGGGTTGTGATTGTTCAACTCTTGAAAGGATTACAGGACAATTAAAATAAAAGCAACTACTGAAAGAGCAAATGACTATTAAGCGCTGTGTTCCCCAGAGGAACATGAGACATGAGCTCTTTCCGTGGATGGCTGGAGTACATAGTGGCTTGTGGCCTCACCGACTCCTTAGAAATTGGTCCTCGAGAGAAAGGCCTGTCCCGGGAAAAAGGCATTTATAAATCTAACTACCCGTGACTTGGAGCCAACTCTGACGCTCTGCTAAGCCTTCCGCATGATCATGTGCCCATGGGTATCTCCACTGGAGTCCTAACTCCTTGGACATGGCCATCCTTGAACGCCTGCTAGCCTCACTCTCAAGTTCACACCACGTCCCAACCAGGATGCAATGTGTTCTCTGCCTGGTACCCACAAATTCACCCCTGGGCCAGCAGGCTTGGGCACTGTGCCTCTGGCATCCCTCAACTTTCAGCCCCCTCTAGAGGACTGTTCACAAAAGTTATTCTCATTTTCAGTTTAAAAGCCAGTGGGCTGCAGCTGTTGGACTGAGCAGCAGGCAACCCAAGGCATGAGTGAGCTGGCAAGCTGGAGCCCGAGGCCCCCGTGGCAGGGTGTGTGAAGGCAGCGTCGGACACATTTTCAATCGGTGTTAAGAACTGCAAGCATTTTCTTGTTAAAGGAAAATCAAATAAATAAGAAACTAAAAAGGGAAAAATAAAAAGAGTGACGGAATAATCAAAGAAAACCCTTCAGAGTGGAAGAGTTTCTTTTCTGTAATAAGCTGCTTTTACTTTGTTTCTTTGGCTCTCACTCCATTGTTGGAGCCTGATCCTCAAAAGATACCCTAGAGGACTCCCTGAAGTCGGGGTGTCTCAGGTCCATGAGAAATTTGGTGGGAGTGAGAATATGAGTAGAACCTGCAGGAGAACAGAGGCCAGCTGACTGCTTGAACAAAGGTACGTTACAGGAACATGCGAGCTTAGGCCTACATTTTATGCAGCCAATGAGGTATGCGAAAGCCAGACGAGCACGCACGGGCACACACACACGCACTCGCACGCACACACACTGTGAGGATGGCTGGCATGCACAAAGCAGTAAGTCCACACAGCGGACATCAGCTGTCTGCGTGAGGCCCCTCCGTGAATCCGCACGGGCCACTTTATGTCCCCAGGTTCCCACCTCCCAACAGGGAACCTCAGGCCAGGGTTCTGGCCCCCCGAGCCTGGTTATGACAGCTTCTGCCCAGGAAAGCTGTGTTTGAGCTGAGAATTATCTGACACATGCATGCAACACATATGCAAGCAGGGAAGAGAAGGTGCTTCATCACGGGGGCCTACGTAACAGAAAGGAAGAAGTGATACAGGGAGCAACGGCACCAGACAGGGGAAGCTTCAGGGAGTGGGCGGGGGGGGGGATGTCCAACCTCCCCACTGAAATGGTGGTGTTTAGAAGGTGGCCGACAGTGCCAGGTCCATGTTGAGACACCTGGGAATGGCCATATGGACTGGACTGTAAGCCTGCTTGCTGTGAGAGCCTGCGGGGCACTGTGACTTGGTCACCCTCTAATGGAGGGATAAAACTGACCCGTCTTATTAAGATAAGGGGAAAGGGCAGGACCTGGCCAGGGTAGTTATGTGCTGATAGTCTCTTGCCCATCAATGTCAAGATGCACTTGGGCAGGTGCTACTCCATTTTATTAAGGGCAAGAAGGGACAAAAGGAATCTGGAGAAAGCAAGGTTTTTCATTTTACTCTTTCTCTTCCAGCCCTAGGAATTGTGGAAGCTCCCACAGGCATGAAAAAGGAGAAAAGTCTCCTCCTGCGGCATTAAGTCAGCTCCTATGAGCTGCTTCCTTTCTTCTGAAAAACAAATAGGAAATACCAGAAAGGGTGTGACAGACCCAGAAAGCAGTAGGACCAGGTTGCCGGGAACCCTTGGCAGAGTCCAGCAGTCAGGCTGATATGTTTCGGGCAATATCTGCTCACACACGTGTCTGTCCATCTCCAACTGGATAGGTATTAATAAAAGAGCGGGTCAGAATTTAACTTCCACTCACGGAGCATCTGGGTGTGAGGCCCAATGCCAGGACATTGACAAGTCCCACCTCAGGCCTAGTTCGAGGCTGTAATGGGGTGTTCTAACCCCATCTGGTTGGGTGAGGAAATCACAGCCTGCAGAGGTGGCGCCCTTGCTCCACGGGGCCAGGCAGTGGCAGAGCAGACAGTGAGCCTGGGGCTGTTGGAGCCTGTGGTCAGGCACTTCCCACCACATGCAGCTGCCTCCCGTTAAGAGACAGTGCAGATGTGAGGAAGGAAGTCTTCGCCCCTTAGGTTGTGCCATCCACAAACGGGTCTAGAGACTAAGCTGTGCCAGGGCGATGGAGAGTCGAAGACAGAATGAAACACCAAAGCATGGAATGGAGTCAAAGTGCGATGAAGCAGCCCCTTTCCGCTAAAAAACATGCCTACTCACCTATGAGCACTTCCCACTTTCCATTGGCCTGGGTCACCTCGTATGCACAACGCATCTCATTCAGGCTCACGCCTCCCAGGATGAAAATAATGAGGCGGGGCCCACTGCGGTACTCCCCTGGAGCCTTATTCTTATGCCAGTGCCCATAGCGGGCGCTGGGGGGCAGGGAGGGGGAGAGAGATTGAGAGAGAGAGAGAGAGATTAATTACGTTTATCTGCACTTACAGTACTTAGCACTTCATACCTCTGTGACATGTTTGTTCTGTGCACCAGTGACCAAAACAGAGCAATGTTTAATAAGTGTTGTGAATGAACCGCAGTGCAAAATATCAAGTGCTGTGCTGCAGGGAGAAGAATCACTACGAGCGCCCATGCCATGACCTTGTCACCTCTTAGAAACATGTAGGCAGCAGACAGGTTCAGGTCGGTTTTAAAGTTTGGCGGGTTAAGTTCAACAGCTTCACGCACCATGATGCTCGTCCAGGGGCCTACCCGCTGGCTGTACATGTTTGCAGGCTTGTCTGGGACACTCTGCTGGCAGTGAGCAGTGATGACAGAGTCTAAGGTGGCATGGTGGCATTAGTGCTCAAACGTGCACCGAGTGCCTCACGGGGCCGGGGCCGCCTCAGCACCGAAGAGCCAGCCCCAGGGAGACAAGCCCTTGCCCACCAAGGCTCATGGCTTAACTGGGTGGGTGGGCAGAGTGGGGAGAAGGAAGCCCGACCGGACTGTGCTACGATGGAGAGTAGCTCAGTGTCACGGAGACAAACGCAGGGAAGGGCCATCTAGTGCTATCCGGGTGTCACTGTGGAAGGCTTCCCAAAAGAGGTGACCACCGAGCTGCCTCTGGAAACACGGGTTGCAGTTCCCTAGTTCCCCAGAGGTGCCCCCTCTGCCACTGGGCTTCCTCAGTAGACCTTCACCTTGTCCTCAGAAATAATGAGAAATGGCTGGCTTCCAGGTTAAGAAAATAGGGAACAAAACAAGGAGAGCAAGTCTCCTCCGGGCGGTGAAATCTCTGCCCTTCTTCCTGACCTGTAACTTCCAAGTCTCAAAGGCACTGGGGGCCAACACAAAATTTCCATCCCTATCTCCGCCTGAGTGGTCACTGAATGTTCTTGGGGCACTAGCTGGGGGTTTGCATTATACTCCAACATTGGCACTAAACTCCACTCCCATCAGAGGGGGCGCACACACAAGCCCTCAGTGCCCCCCGCACCCCCCCCACCCCCGCCCCCAGGAGGAGGCCTGAAAGGGACGATGGGAGGAGGAGGGAGAGAGAGAAGATGGGCGGGCACAATATGAGAAGAGGGACAGGCGCACACCCTGAAGTGTTACTCCTGGGACTGCATGTCACACCTGTGCCCCAGGCTGCCCCCCTGGAGCTGGTGGCTCTCTTGTTCCAAGCTCCTGTGTTCAGCCCTGACTGTTCTCAGGAGCCAAGCAAAGGTCTCGTGTCAGAGAAAAACAGAGTAGCACCCTACCACCTCAGGAAAGGTACCAGGCGCTGCTGTGGGTAGGGGGGAACCTAGGCCACACAAGAGAGTCAGTCTGTAACAGGCGTCACAGAGTCCCAGGGACAGGCCCGTGGAGTGGAGATGTCCCCCGCAGAGCACAGCAGGGAAGGTTTCTGGATGATTAGGGGAGAAGGAGAATGAGAGGAAGAGCTCTCAAACACTGACCTCTCAAGGCACCATGGCTGGCCAAGGACACACAGAGTGGGGAGCCCGGAGATAGACTCTACTGACATCTTAAAGCTGAGACGTGTCTGAGCATCACCAGGCATCGGGCAGAAACCCAGACTACCCGAGGCATTCACATCTCCCCCATCTGCGTTTCCATCAAGAATGGATCTGAGAAATGTGGCTCTGGGCAGACTATGTATTCATGCCCTTCTTAATTAATAACTAAAATCAATTCATTAATCAAAAATGAAGAGAGAATACACCAAGAGCCTGCCACGCGCCAGGATAAAACACACACCTATTCCTGCCCTCTCAAGGCTGACATTTGTGTCGGGGAAGACTGGCAATAAATAAATACAAACAGTACACCAAGTGGTGGCGTCATCTATGGAGAAAGACAAAGCAGGGAAGGGAGATGGGAAGCGTCGTGGGAAGGCTGCAATTGTTTCTTTATTTTCTGTAACACCTGTATTGAGTGATAATCCCCACATCATACAATTCACCCGTTAAAGTGTACACCCCGTTGGTTTTTAATATAGTCACAGAACTGGGAACAATTACCCAATCAATTTTAGACCATTTTCATTAACCCCCCAAAAGAAACTCCGTACTCATCAGCGGTCATTCCCTGACCCCCACCCCCGTCCCGGCAACCGCTGACCTACTCTGTCTTTATAGATTTGTCCGTTCTGGGCGTTTCATATAAATGGAATCACATAATATGTGGTCTTTCTGATCCCTCCTTTCACTCAGCATAATGTTTCAGGGTTCATCCATGTTGCAGTTCATTCCTGTTTGGTTAAGTAACATTCCATCTATGGCTTTACCACATTTTGTTTCTCGTTCATCAGTTGATGAACATTTGGGTCATTTCTACTTTTGAGCTATTATGAATAATGCTGCTAGGAACACTGGTTTACTGTAATTTTATTTTTATTTATTTATTTTTTTAGCTGAGCCATCCTGCTACCTATTGGCAGCTTAGCGGCTGCTCAGCTCGGGCTGGCCTCGAACCGCTGTTGCTCAGAGCTCAAACTCTTGAGCGAGCTCTTAACCAACTGAGCCATTTGGCCGGCCCTACTGTAATTTTAAACAGAGCAGTTACGGAAGATCATAAAGGGTAACACTCAATTAAAGACCTGGAGGAGACAAGAGGCAAGCCACGCAGATATATTGGGAACAGATCAGTTCAGGCAGTCGGGAAAGCAAGTGCAAAGGTCCTGAGGCAGATATAGGCCTGGCATGTTCTCAGAGGCTGGTGTGGCTAAAGTGGAGCAAGACAAGGGAGGAGTGAGGAATGAGTCACGGAGGAGCAGACGCCAGACGGGGAAGGGCCTCACAGCTGCTATAAGGACTTGGCCTGCACTCTGGCTGAGATGACAGCAGCGGGAGTGTTCTCAGGAGTCACGGGGCATCACAACAGGACTGTGTAGCTGACATCCTAGCAGAGCTGCTCCCACTTACCGCCCCCTTGCCTGCTCAGGGATTCTCACCTACCTGACAGCAGTGGTGCTAAAGGAGGCAGAGGAGCGGGTAGAGATATAAGGGTAGTGCTTGGTGTCCAGTTTGTCTTCAATAGTGTCCTGGAAAGAGACAAGACTGATGTTAGGTCAGTCACTGGTCTGAAAAGAGCTGTTGGAAACCCAGGGGCGATGATTCAAAGGACAAGTCACTTGGTGAAACCCACGGCCAGGTCTTCAACCACCAGAGCTCCCTCGCCCGCTGCAGATGCCCAGTGCAGACCAGGCGCTCCATAACGGGCTGGTACACTGGGTACCAACTCTTTAAGTCTGCTCTTTAAGAGAAGTTAAAAAAGATAGCATTGGTTTTTTTCTGTTTTCCTTCCAATTGATTCTTTTTTTCCCTCTCTTTCCCATTCTATGAGATTATAAATGCTGTATTCTACCCAATAAAGTCCTGACACTTGCCATCAGTCCTGTCTGTAGAAACTAGACACAAGCAGTCTCTCCAGCCAGAGAAAGCCTTCCACCCTCAGCTTCCCAAGGGTTTAATTATCTGGTGGGTGGACCCCAGCTATCCGCCTCCTGCTGCTTAGAAATCTACACTCCCACTAACAGCTACCATGTGAAGCCTATACATGGTATAGGGGGCTAGGGAGGAGGGGCAGAAAAAGGGAGCACAAAACAAAGGAGGGAATAGACAGGGGTTGGCTTTATCTATTGCACCAAGCAAAGAAATGTAACTGGTTTCTAGATGTCTCATGTTCACCCATCCTTTTGGTTTGTGGATTTTAAAAATAGGAAGCTGACTCACTGTATCTATTGAAAAGTATTTATTTTAACGTACAATTCAGTACGAACACCTGGGCTGCTGTGAATTAACAAAGGGATCCTGGGCAGCACCCTTCATTCTCAGAACCCCAGTCCTGCCCACCTGTCAAGTGCAGGAGTTGGACAGATTATCTCCCATCCACCCCTAAAGATCTAGCAGAGTAGAATTCTATGCAGGGTTTCCTCACTCTATTAGAGAGGGGAGGGACACCATCGGGATGCTTTATAAACATGAAACACCTACTACGCACAAGGCACAGTGCCAGAGGACACGTCAGTTGAGGGCACAGGACCCAGGAATAAAAAGATGGCCCAAAACATGGAGCAGTATACTGGCTCGTAAACAGCCTCCCTGACACATGCTGCAGGAGTCCAGGTGAGGCCTCTGTGGGGCTGGGTGTCAGACGGGTGGAGTGGTATATGGGAACAGTGAGACCCAATGGGGCCTTTGAAGGAAGGCAGGATTCAGGAAGTAGAAAGGAGAGTGAGAACATTCCAGACGAGGGGTGGGTTTGAACAGATGAGCAGAGGCAGAAATACGCTTGGCAGGGTCTCTGGCTGGCCTGGAGGGCTGAGAGAGGGGGCAGTGAGAGAAGGTAGGCTGGGTGACATTCCATAGGCCCATTCGCACCCGCACAGGTGTCCACGTGGCACACCCACACCTCAGCGTGGAACCTGTTACTCACTGGATCTTTAGATGCTGTGATATGTTTGCTTCCTTTGGGTATGGCACCACCAAGGGGTCTCTACTATGGGGCAAAACCATATGGATCTCGGGGGACCTGCCCCTGGCAGTCTCTTGGGACTGCTCTTCATAAGCCCTCAGGACAAGACATGCACTGAGGCCCGAAAGAGCTGTGGAGACCTGGATGCAAATCCTCGGGGGTGTCACCGCCACCTGAGAGCAGGGGAAGCTGGAGGCATCTGGGCCTTTAAATGAAGAGCCCTGGGCCCTGGCTGTCCCTCTCCACCGTCACTGACCTCCATGATGTCTTTAATGATCGGAGTCCATCGTGAGAGCTGGTAGGTCTGCTCACTGATGCGCTCCTTCCGTTCTGGCTTGCTCCTGCGACGCAACGTGGACTGAATGCAAGCACACTCAAGATTAGACTGAGTCAGGGGCCACGTGGGCCCCAAGTGACCGTGCTGGCCTCTAGAAATTCTTCCCAAGGACTCTCAGAGGGCCAGCACTGGCAAAGAGTAATGAGTGGGGGACGCTTTCCCCGGAAGAGCCAAAAATATGCCCCTTTTAGGAACCTGGAGCAAACTTGGTTCTCTAAAGCCACGAAAAATGGCAAATGTGGGTCAAATATATGTGCCATTTTAAAACACTCCAGGTAATTAAAAAAAAGTCAATTATTGGAGAAAATACTACTTCGGGTATGACTTATTCTTTGATTTCATTTCAACAGTACAGGATGTCCTAAAAGAACTGGTCCTTCTTGTACAAAAATTAAGGGTCTAAAATTGCCAATAACAGGTCTCTGGTCTGATGGCTTCGGAACTAAGTTTTTGGCTCCAAGATTCCAAGTTTTTGGCACCTGCAACTCCAGCTTTATTAGTACTGTTGAGTGGGCTGACTCCCTAAGAGTAAATAAGTGCACAGTGGGACTCCTACTGGTGGGCGAGGCTCCTAGCGGGTACTCTGCAGAGGGCTTCTGCCTCTTCCTTGAGACCTGGAGCCCCGCCCCCAGCCCCTTCTAGAGCTCACTGGGTGGTTGTGGTCGGGCCTCCCAGACAACCTGCCCTGACTTTGTCCTGCATCAGTGCCAGCGCAGGAGACTCAAAGTGGCAGAACTGCCTGATGCCAAGTGCTGACTGTCCCTCTCACAGAAGATGCTGAGTCTAGGTGTTCAGAGGCAAAGCCAGACCCACCTGAAGGAGCCAGTAGGACCCCTATGATGGGTTGGTTCACAGACACAGCTCAGCTTTAATGACTGTGTGACTCCTTGATGTGCACGGCTGGAATCTTGGAGCTCATAAAACCTCTATTTTATTTATACCTCTGTATCTTTATTCCTCTGATTGTATCTGTTTCCTCTTTCTCCATGTTGAGTGTGTGTATTTTAAGCTGCCTTAAGTAAGTCAGGGGAGAACAGGTGAGGCCCACCAGCTTCCCTTCTGCCTCCCCCTCCCCATACACAGGTTGGCCCCTTACATCTGTGACGATGGGCACCCCAAGGTGTGCCATGTTGGTGATGATCTCACTGTCCTCCGGGGGGATCTGGGCGTGCTGGATCAGTTTGTTCAGGTTTTCCTCAGTGATGCCTAAGAGAACAAAACCCTGGTCACCACACCCACCACAGCCTCACACACACTCAGGGGCAGAGCCAATCGTCTGGGGGCAGGGGGACGGCGCCCCTTCTCCTCAGGATTAGTGGAAATTAGTCTGTTCATCACAGTAACTTGACTGTAAGACATGGACACGATCAGGACCCCAATTCCACCCCAACTGCTCCATCCCAGGCTGTGACCATCTTGGTCCACGTTCCCTCTCTGTCCCCTGCTTCTCAGCCATCCCTGCCACCACTGGCCCCCATCAAAGTTCACCTGGACGAGAGAGTCTCTGAGCTCATCTTTTTACACAATAGACTTATGGGCAACTATTATGTGGGTAAAAAATCAGTTATTTAAAGGCACAGATTACAAAGTGATGCAAGTTAAAAGTATCTGGCAGATACACTCTAAAACTGGCCATGAAGCTCTCCCTGCTTTGAGAGCTCCCCCTGCTCCCCCACCCCCACCCCGTCCTCATCTGTGTGTCCCATACCACTGGGTAACTCCAGGATCACGGGGGAACACTAGCTTCTAGCTACAACTGATGTGCCTATATTACACTGCCCCAAACGTAAAGAGCCCCTAGGATCCTCTTGTTAAATACCCTTCCCTTTTCCATGTCTTTTCAACTACTTTTCCACCTTGTTTTCTCTCTCCCCGCTGCCCCTCCTCTGCACCCCACCATTCCTACCATTCTTCAGGAAGATGTAGAGAAGGATGATGCGGATTTTGTCGTAAGTGCTGACGTTTGCATCCAGCAGAATGGGGACGATGGCTCTCATGGGGTCCTTGATCTTCTCCCCTTCAGCATCGGTGCCCATGGCAAGGTCCTGCAGGAAACACAGCAGGTTGGCCCCGTTTCTTCTGCTGACAGTCGGGATAGGTGGTAACTACTAGAAAGTTCCTGGTCCGTAAGTGTCTGGGATTTGCAGTCAGGGTGGGGAAGATCTTAAACAGGTGCTTCTACTCTCGGAACGTGTGGTAAGTAGCACTAGTATAATTACACTGCTTTCTACAGCACCCGTGAGAATAAAGCTCCAGGTCTCACTTTGCAAACACAGAAACCACAATGACTTGCCGTCTTGTTTAAAGGTAGGCTGTTCCCTTTAGGTGAGGGCCTGTGCCAGCTCCTTAGGGAAGGCCTCAATCCTGGCAGGTCTTGTAGAGGCACAAAGCCCTGCTGAGGGACCAGGGCTTAGAGGGATGCACTTCCCACACAAATGTTTTGGCATTTTAAGGTGCCTCTGCCTGACTCTGCTTCCCCTGGCACTCAGGACAGCTTTTTGAGTTTTAACTACTCAGGTTTTTAACTACTCAGGAATCTTCCAGTCATTTCTAGGGTGAGGAGGAAAAAAGAATGGGCTCCCAAACCAGCAAATCCAACCCAGGGAGGTGAAGGAAGAGAGAAGGCCTGACAAAAGAACTGAAGATGAAAGACAATGAAGTGAGCAAAGTCTACAGGCCCCACGCTGCGCCCCAGGCGAGAGTCAGACCCTTTCTCAGCAGGCCAGAGAAAGCGGCACCTCAGCCTCAGGCCATCAAGGACCATTTGGTCTTGCTCTCAGAGATGAGCAGTGGCAACTTTCTCTGTGGCTTTACAGAGGTTGCCCGAAGGTTCCCCTTTTTCTCTTGTGATTCCAGGAGTCCATAATAATCATGATCTCGAGTTCATGGTCTTTCCCCAGTCTGGGCCAGCGGAAGGCAGGGCACCCTCCTAGGCCCTTTCACCTCTCAGTCCCACTGCCATGCTCAGGAGACATTTGTTCAGCAGGACCTGATTCTAATACTCTCTAAAAGTCAAGTTAAATGTAACAAATACTACTGAGCATTTCTGAAAAAATGTAAAGTTCCAAGGATGAATCCCAATTGCATTTTTACTGGTCTAGTGATAACCTATTCTCTGGATGGTCAAGTTCTTTTGGAGAGGATACCTTGTGTTTACCAAGATCACCTGTGAAGCTGATGGGTTTTAGCAGGGCTGCTTCCCCTTAGAAGAGAGGCAATGGATCGGGACAGCTGAGCCTGTTACATCAAACCCGAAGACTTAAATCCTAGTTTCACACCGAGAACTAGAGATGTTTTTTTCTGTAAAAGGGGGCCTTCCGCTGAGGCTGCAGGAGCATTTAATGCCCTCTCTTCCCTGAGAAGCTGACCCTCTCTGAGTATTGTTATCACACTTGAAGAATGAGTGCCAGGATTACAGACTCCACACAACACTCCTGGAGATTGTGGCAGCGTTGTTATTTCCCTTTGCGGGTGAGGAAAATAAAGCAGGGAGAAATGGGCACATCAAACCAATCAGCGACAGAGACAGAACTCAAACCCAGACTCTCAATTACAGTCCTAACTGTGATCAGCGAGGCGGTGGGTGCATTTCTGTGCTGTTGCTGCCCTATCCTCTTTCAGCCTCTCGGTGTCCAAAACTGGTGTGGCCGCAGCAGGAGGAAATACATTCAGACTATAATATTCAGCCAGCCCTGCCCATGTAGGGCTCAGAGCCCCATATATCTCTTTCCAGCCATTCCAGGGGGGAAATGGCGCCTTTGGAAAGCCAGGCATGCAAAATCCAAACGGCACGGCACTCCAGACCAGTCTAGCCCCTACCATTGAGGTTGGCATGGCACTGGCTGCAGAGAGGTGAGATAACACGATCTAGGAGGCTTTCCCATCTCTGTTTCCTATGATTCTGCAGGATGTTCAAGGTCAGACATTAAAATTCAGTTGGGTAAATGCACATGGCAGGAAGAGAGGGAAAAGGTCCTACCTGCTCCACTCGGCAGAGCTTGTCCACGGTGCCCTGGTAATGTTTCATGCAGTCCTCGGCCAGGTGCAGGTGGGTCGAATACTAGGAGACAGTTTGTGATCAAGGAATTACTGATTCATGCAACATCTACCGAGCACCTACGATGTATAAACACTGGGCTAGGCACCAAGGTGTCTCCAGCCTCATTAAGGAGATGAAACGTGTTCAGGCCGGTACACAAACACCACAAGTAGGAAATTTTGTGTGTCAGGAGAGAGGAAGAAGCCACATTCTAAGAGCCAAGGGGAAGGAGGGAGGCTTCGTGGGGGTAGGGTGGTAGGATGGCTTCACAACACATCCACAGGTACTCTGATATTCTTCTCCCAGGAGGGGGAGTTAGTTCCCCTCTCCGGGAGCGTGAGCTGGATTTAGTGATTCCCTCCTCGTGGATAGAGAGTGTGCAGGAAGTGATGTGTGACATCCCCGATCAGGACACAGAGGGCACTGTGACTTCCCCCGAGCTCTCTCTCTGGGGTCACTCACTCTGGGGAAGCCAGCTGACATGTCATGATAACACTCAAGCAGCCCTGCACCAGGTCCACGAGGGGAGGAATAGGAAGGACAAAGAGAGAACAAGACGGAGAGGAGAAAGGAAAGCCACGGGAAAGAAGCTGTCTATCCCAGCCTTCCATTTCTAATAAAAATTGAAGATAACTAAAAATCTGTGGATTTCAATGACTCGCTGAGTAAAGTGGGGCTTTGAGAAGTCTTTCTGCAGCTATTTAACCCATGATTCCAACTGGCCATCTTGGATCGCCGTACCTTGCTGAGCTCTTTCTGGTACTGGGGCATCTTCTTCAGCATCTGTGACAGGTCCCGCATGGTGGTCTGTAAGGGAAAGCACAGCATATGGTCTCACTCCAATGGCCCTGATCTAAGAGGCTGTGCAAGGCAGGTGGGTGCAGGATGGGACAGCAGCCGGCACTGGACTTCCGGTGTGCATGCTCTATAACTCCCGAAATGAATCTGTTGAACACAAGATCATGGGTGCTTAGGGTGCCAGCCAGGTCTCTGGCTCAAAGAATTACTGATCCAAACACCAATGGCTGTCTTATAGGTGGGGAACTGAACTCTGAAGTCTTGCAATTACGTTTTATTTTTTGGACTAGAAGGTTACTGAGACCATAATTCTTGCCAGGAAAGAACAATTTTTCTTCTATACACTGCCTTTCTGCATACTCCGTTCAGCACTCTTGGCATCGTGTTCACATTTCACCCCAGCAGAAAGGCTGTATTTGTGTAGATAGGTGACAAGTAGGCAACAGGCAAGAAAAGGCTGGGATGTGCGTCCTGATGGATGAAACAGGTTTGTTGACTTTCTAACTGTGTGACCCACCTGATCCCACTCATTTATCTGACAAAAATCTATTGAATTACTGCTACATGCCAGACACCTTTAACTGCTAAAGATACAGGACCAAAAAAAACTTCTGCTTTCATGGAACTCACACGTAGGAGAGCAGCCATCCAACTAAGTGGATTAACACTCTTCCAGGGCATCAGAGTGTGGGTGCACAGAGCAGAGGCACCTCACTAGTCTAGGGAGGAGTAGGGAAGGTTTCCCTCCAAGACGATGCCTGAGCCAAAGGACCAGGACTTTACAAGGCTAGGTCCAGGCAAGAAACTCAGGTGTAGCTGGAGAAAGGTGGTGGGGACAAGAAGGTACAGACAGAGATGAAACCAGAGAGAGTCCCTGGAGCCTGATGACCCAGGTGCTGTAAGACACGTCCACGGGTGGGGCTTGACTGTACAGGGGATGGGAAGTCACTAAGTGGTTTTTTTTTTTTTTTATTAAAAAAATTTTTTTAGCTGAGCCATCCTGCCACCTGTTGGCAGCGCAGTGGCAGTTCAGCTCGGGCCGGGCATTGAACCGCTGTTGCTCAGAGCTCAAACTCTTGAGCAAGCTCTTAACCAACTGAGCCACTCAGTCGGCCCCCACTAAGTGGTTTTAAGCAAGGAGTGATACAATCAGAGCTGCACTTTCCTTGACTAAGATGGGTAAGCCACCTCTGATAAACTGTCAGGATAAGGAGAGGCCCAGGTAGGTTAGCACATGAATGCTAATTCCACCATAAGCTAAAAAGATTTCCCAGTTCTTCCGGTTTAAAATGAATCGTGATCTAAAATAGTAAATACTAATCTTCAGCGTAACAAAAAGATACTCTATAAATCTCAAAAGACGGGGTTCCCGAACTCAATCTTGAACGCAAAATAAGACAAAATGATCACAGATGAAGGACTACGACCCCCTGCAACGCTCTGGTCTTATGCAGAGATGTCCTCGCTGCCCCTAGAGAGAAAGCAGCGATCAGCTTAAAGGGCACTCACTGCAGGTTAGTGTGGGTTTACCTTCTCTCCAGTGTTCATTCTCTTGCTGGAAGAAAAATCTTTCAGAGAACGGGTGACTTCCCTGGAAGACAGAAGGAGGCAGCTAAGTTTCAAAGCAACACCAAGCGCCTCTAAAGGATGCTACAGGAGCAATGCAACAGTCTTCCTTTAGGAAAATGTAGAGACTTTTCCTGCCAGTAAGGTATGCATTAAAAGTGATTTCTAAGAGGAGAGAGGAAAGCGATATATTGTTTTTCTAACTCATATTCTAAACCAGGGCCTCCAGACTTGAAAAGAGAGAAGAAAATATTAGGACATCTATTTATGTTTATTTTACTTCATCCTTTTCAAATCTACGTTTTTGTATATTCTGCAAAATATATACATTAGTACAATAAAGCATATATTTAATTCATAGATAAATTTAAATACTGGGAGTGTTCATCAACATTTTTCTAAATTTGAGTGATCCAAAAAGTTTGGAGACCACTTCTAAAATAACCGAGCTAACCAAGACTATTATTTTTCTCTCTTCCTTGTGAATTTCCTAAGGATAAGATCAACTCAATGTAGCAGAATGTGTCTTTCTGCAAAAACAGAGCTGTTTAAAGGTCTTGTAACAATGTTTAGGTGTTAGAAACATTTTGGACCATTTTCAGGTAGGTTCAGTGTATACAGACATCAGTTCTTGCTCAGAAATTTTAGGTATGACAACAAGGGAGGAAGATACACACCAGTCATATAAGAGGGTTGCGTGGAATCTGGATCTTTCAGTGGAAGGAACCACCTTTACATGTTTAGTGTTTATAAAGCATTTTGCTGAGAGCACTACAAATGCTTTCCAAAAACTCGCAAAGCCCCCCTAACATGGATTTTCTAACTTCCTGAAGTTGGTGGAGCTGGAGCGCAGAGATCAGAAGGGATCTGTCCCCATAGGTTAGCATGTTGGTGCCTTTGCCGAGGCAGGGAATTCACCCACTGAAGAGCTCCAGCCAAGCTGCCCAGAGTATGTGCCTCCGAGACCACAGATAGGGAGAGTCATTTTGCCTTGGAGGAGGGCGGGGAAAGGGGCTCTTACTGGGACACCTCTGCGATGTGCTTGTGACGCAGGGTTATCCAGAGGTCGTCGTCCTCGTCCAGAAGCACTTCCTTCACCCGTGCCTCCCCGATGCCACTTGTTTCGTACCTAGAGAGGGGACATCCCCACAAAATTCATCCAGTTCCTTCTCGTTTATAACAGACAAGAGCTCACAGTCCTCAGCTGACAGATATCCACATGAATGACTTCACAAGCCCCAGGACCACCCGATGTGTCACTGTCTGTATCAGGTCATGTATGAGCACTAACACCGCTAATTCCTTGGGCAGGAAGAGACCCAAAGCTCTAATAAAGTTCAACTGGCTTAAAGTTCTGTAGTAAAATCCTCAGAGTGAGCTGATAGAAGCACCACCTTAGACACCTGGTTCAGGGCATGAAGTCAGGATATAGGTGGGTTCAGAGTTACTTATAAGGGACAAAGATCATGTTTGCCACTCTCTGAGAAAGGCCTGGGTACCATCCTCAAACGTTAGGTGACTTAGTAGCTTTTAGCAACTACCAGCAACAGGCCCTCAGCATATGAAATCACGGCCATCTACAGGAAGGCAAGAATTATGGGGACCAAAAGGGAGAAGGGCAGAGATTTTTCACTCATATTTTCAGAACCTTCATTTTGAAACCACTACTTTCATTCATGATCAATGTTGTAAAATTAATGACATGAGAACAATGTAGTGTTTCCATAAAAAGAAAAATTGGTTTTTAGAAACTAGTTTCTAATGATTACTACCAAGAAAAATGTTGTTTATAATGAAGAAAAGAGCTTCTCTGAAAATAAAGTTTAGTAAGAAACTCCTGTTGATCTCTTTTGTCATATTTCATGATCAATAATTAAGAAGGTTCAACTCTGAATAAGAATACGCACACACACCCAAATTGACATATTAACACATCCAAGCAGGCTATGAACTGAGGTGGTGTGAGCTGTGAACCGAAGATTCAAAGTTCTTGTTCTTCCCCAAAAGAGGCCCAAGGTTCTGGCTAGAAATGCCATTGGATTCTGGGACCTCACAGAAAAGACTGCAGGTATCAATGCGCCCGCTTTTCCTAGGATTAATGACATCCTCTGTCTAAAGTTAGAGGTGTTTCAGGTTCGTTTGCAAAGCTGCAGTTCCTCCGGGGTGTGTGCACTTACTTGTATACATCATTCTCAATAGGCAGCAGATCGTAACTCATGGCCTGAAAAGTGAGTTCATGTAGCACGGGGGAGCAGGGGTCGAATCCGCGGTCCAGGATCAGGAGCTGGGAGCGCGCCTTGTCTGGGCCCTGGAAGGAAGGACACAGGGAACTTTCACAAGCCACCCCCGCCCCACATTTCAGCTTCTCCAACTAGCGTAGTCCCTCCTGTAAAAGGGGATGGCAGGAAGCAAACTCAGGGGGTAAACCTACTGAAATAGCACTGACTATAGTTCATTTACTGCTCTACAAGAACCCAAGTAAGCACCATGTGAGAATGCAATGTGTCTATCTGATAATGAGTGAGGGTCCTTTGAAGCAGATCCAAAACTGCGGCGGGGTCCAAAGTGAGCTCGTGAAGGACAGCAGCACCTGGGCTCTGCTACAAACAGGGTGACTCACCATCCTGTCTGCCTAGGACTTTTGGTTTTAAAACCAAGATAATGAAGAACTCTGTGTCTTAACTGCAGTGGGGGTTACGTGAATCTACACACAGGTAAAATTAAATAGAACACGCACACAAATACGTACATGTACACACTACCTGAAATCTGAACAAGGTCTAGAGATTGTACCAATATCAATTTTCTGGGTTGGTACTGTACTACTGAGGGGGTTCCCCGGAAGGAGGGTCTTCAGGGCCCAAACTGGGAACGTCCTGGCGGACGGAAACAAGTTGGTCATCCCAGCTCCACTGAACAGAATGTGAACCAGCCTGCCCAAATGCCTGAGCATGTCCCTGGAGGCCGAAGTGCAGGAACAGCAGCACTCATGGACGCTCTGTGAGCAGCTGAGCTGTCCCCAGGACAGTGGTCACTTGGCAAGAGAATCACGTGGTCCCCATCCAGACCTACCTCCCCCATGGTTGGGTCATCAGCTTTGTAGGCGTCGAGCTTGTCCTGGATTAGCTGAGCCAGCAAAGCATTGTCCTTGTATTCCCTGACAAAGGAGGAGTGACACAGGTGACTGGCCCCTGCACCCAAACGATGGCGCTGACTGCCCTCGGGGAGGAAGGCAGGCCAGTGCAGGGAGGGTCAAGGACGCTGTGAGCTTCTGCACAATGTCCTTTTACCATAAGAATATATTCATATATTACATGCATAATTTAAAAAAAATGCCTAGCTCAGTGCCTGGAACATAAGTGATTTTCTAGTTCCTTGTTTGTTTTTTAACTATCTAAACAGGAAGAGGTAGTCTCTCTAAGCAGTTTCAGATAAACAACCGCACATCGGCAGAGGGTCCTGATCATCCTTCCTTTTCCCACAACCAAGCTGTCTGAGCCTGACCCACCTGCTTCTCACTTCCCTCAATTCTAATTCCCTTGGGTCTTGTTTTGTTTTCATGGCAAGTAACATTTCTGCAGGCAGAGCAGATAAAAGTGAGAACCTTAGTCTAAACCCTTCCCCTTGGGTAAGCCGGACAGTATTTCCTGGGGCCCCGCCCAACTGTACCTAGGGTGTGGCTGCTGCCTGCCACCTGCTGTCAGCACTAAAGCAGCTGTGTTCCCAGCCCCATGACTCCCACAAATGAACTCCAGTCTCCCACTACTCTGTGAGAGGTAGGGCCTAGGCCCCACTTCTTAATGTCCTCCAGGCTTTTTGTCAGTGAACGCCAATAACGGAGGAAAGCCAGGTTCTGGGGCTGATGGAGGGAGGCGTGTTTCTATGGCTACAGGTCCAGCAGACAATGCGGCAATGAGGATGGGTGGAGCACTGATCCACGGCCCTCCAAGTTCAGGCCCGCGGTTCCTCTTGAGTGGCCTCCTCCTTCTGGTTTCTCCTCGCCTGACTCCTGCTCACGCTCCATCTTCACGCTCCCACAGCACTATGTTCACTCCCTCGTCAACCCTCCAGAAGTTTCCCAGTGACAGCCACTGAAGGACATGAGCCTACAGCCGGCATCCGAGGCCCCCAGAAATGGCCTCATCTCGCTCCACTGTTCTGCACATAGCTGCGCTAGGCTGCCAGTCCTCCGCAGGCTTGCCCTTCGCCCTCCCAACTCCACACTTCTGCTCATACCAACGGCAAGAGCCAACTGCCCACACAAAACGCCCTCTGCTCCTCATCAGGCTACTGAAATCCAAACCTGTCCGTCAAAACCTAGTTCACAGGTCACCTCCGGTCTGAAGCCATTCTTGAGCCTCTCGCTTAAAGGGCCCTCTCCCTACTCCGGCTGCTCAGCCCTCGGCTCGTTTGTCCTAAGGCGCTCGTCTCGCAGGGCCTCGCCATAGGTGTGCACAGCTTATGCACACACATGCTGGTATCTTACCTGCCTTCCCAGTCAGGGCCTTCTAAGGGCAGGGGCAGTGTCCTCAGGTGGTCTCCCCAGCACTTAGCACACAGCAGGTAAGTGATAAGTGAGTGACTATAAGATCTGAAGAACGTGTCCTTTACAGAATTATTCTCTTTGTGTTTTCTCTTACTCTGAAACATCTTCTATAAAGAAGATGCCTTTTTAAAGGTTAGAAAGAGATTTAAGAAACTATAGGAAACCTGGGTTGCAGTTAGATAGGTGTTCACATTTTAGTTATTCAATAACTGAATATAACTATTTCATGCTCTTTTCTGTATCATTATATTTCACAGTAAAATATAGAAAATAACAAAACCATTGGAAGAGTAATTATAAATGTGATGCTCAAATCTTGACCCTCTTGAGAAAACTGTCAGAGGATTTTAAGGCCAGACCAAGTGTGGGGGATAGCTCCTCACGCGGGGGCTGGGCGCTGTCTTACCCCCGGTACCGCACGGCTGGGTACTCTTTCAGGGTGGCACACAGAGTTGCGATCTGCTCTGCCAGGCGCTCCAGTATAGGATTCTTCATCTGAGCCTTGTGGGGACTGTAGAAGCTTTGGAAAGAGTCAGCAGAGTCCAGGGAATACACCTGAGGAAGAGGGAGAAAATACATACAGTGTTTGCATCCGGGAATGGTGAACTGTTAGAATTTTCCCCAGCCCTGGAAGTGAGTCTACAGAACACGTTTACTCTACAAATGCGCTGGGCGTCTGCTGTGCCAGGTACTGTGCTACACACCTGGGAACTATGAGTGACCAAAACATGACCATCCTCCAGGAGTGTGTGAAAGGAAGGCAGACAAATAATAAACATGATGAAAAGTAAATTTGATGGTATGTGAGAAACTGGTAAGTGTCTGAGAAAATAATGAAGCAGGGAAAGAATACCCAGGAGGGAGGGCCGGCTGGGGAGGACAAGGCCTCCTGAGAAGGTGACCTTTGACTGTTTGAGCAAGGACTGCCTCTCACCAGCAGGGGGACTTCCACATGGAGGGAATGGCTAGTGCCAGGGCCCTGCCGAGGGCAGGCGCCTGCCGAGGGCGTGATGAACAATGAGGAGGCCAGGGGGTAAGCAGAAGAGCAGATTAGCGTCAGACCTCAGGGGCCATTACCAGCATAAATAAATAAGGGAGGAGCTAGACATTGAGCTGTGGCTGTGGGCAAATAATGGAGCTTTTTGATTTAATAATTTCCTACCCTCAAGAATATGTTCTAAGTGGTTTTCTTTTCTTTTTCTTTGGAGAGTTCTGAAGTTTAAAATTTCCTCGTAAACTACCTAGCCTACCAGCTACCAGTATTCTCTCAGAATCTCATTTATGTAAACTGCCCTGATCATCTAGAAAACCTGAGGCTTTTAAAAAAAAACGTATTACTTTTAAAAAATATATGAAATATAACATGGTTGAACATGCTAAAGTTGGACTTTGTTCAATCCAGGTGGTGACTGGGCTCCCACGGAGAAAAAATAATTCCTGCCCTCAGGCTGGAAGCAGGCTTTAGGCCAAGTGAGATTGTCTTTAAATGTTAACACTGTATTTTTTTCTATCCTTCCTTACCTAAAAATAGATCACTCTTTGGTGTCTAGAAGCTAATCTATAAAGATCCAGCATGATACAATCATTTTTTATCTCTACAAAAATGCATAAAAGTTCTGTTACTCTTGTTCCTTTGTTAGGAGAAGATTTTAAGATTTTAACAAATCTTAAAATACTTAGATATGAATTTTGTACACTCTCACAAATCTTCACCTTTACTGGTTTAACAACTGTTTTTTTCCAAGGGGAGAGGTTTGCTGCCACAGCATTTGGCATGTGAAGTGTTAATGGCTAATGACGAAGGCTGCCATCTGTTCTCTCAGCACATGACAGGCTGAGGTTATCTCTACATAAAAACAGTCTCCTTCGCAGCAGATGGGTGTTGTCTGATCCCTTCCCATCTCTCCTTCCACGCTCCTCCTGGATTGGCTACCTTTTGGTTATTCAGGAGTCAGCCAATCAGAGTGAACACTGTGAGCAAAGAGATATATGCACGCAAAGAAAGGCACAATGGCTGAAAACAAATCAGAAATAACTGGAGAGGAGGATGAGGGCCAGGGCAGACCCCTAAGGAGTACTGCCTCTCCATGACATAAGCATCCACTTACAACATCGCACTCATCAAGTCTTCCCTCACCCACTGTCTCGCCCACTGTGGGGCATTTCACCCCCCGCCACCCTCTCAGAACCTGCCAGAGCTCCATAAGGATGCAGAGTTCCCGGGCACCTCCAACTCAGCCTCACCTGGGATTCGTAGGGGAGAAATGCAATGTTGATTTCCGTCAGAGTTTTGATGACTTTGGCTGCTCGAGATTTTACCAGCTCATTAAACAGGGCATCTGGACAAGCTGCAAGAATGACAAAAGACAGTGGGTTTTCCCATCCATTTGTGGATTCATTTCAACAGGCACACGTGTCTGGTAGATTCTTTGTTAGGATTTTAAAAAGGCAAATAGAAAATTCACCCCATTCTAACACAGCCAGTACCTCTAGGGTATAAAAGGAATATAAACCCACCTACAAGGCCGTAGAACAGAGAAACACCTGGTGATCAAGGCTGAGCTATTAAGAGCTAATAAAAACCATTTTCTGATATCAAGGAGAGGAAGGAAAAAAACTGTAAGAGGTTAAGAAAGGACAAAGACAAAGTCTATAATATAAACAAACACCTCACATCTGACATGTGCATGAAAAATAAAGAAAAATCAAATCATTGGGAAATGTGATACAGGCATTTCCCCCGGACCCTCTAAGGAACTCCGCTGCTCAGGAGACCCAGTTGGTGGGGAACCATAATTTCTACTGACTTTCCTGGGCCAAACATACGGCTGCAGGGTCCCAGGAATGTGTTACCGGTTTATTATGACTAATGCCATCTACCTGCTCTCTTTGTCACCCACATTCAAACAGTATAAAATTATTCTTTGCAAGAACCTTTCCCTTTTTCTCAGTGGTGAATTTTGTGGGTTTTTCCTAGAGAGAGGAACACTGGGGAAACTGTTATTATTGTACATTCTTTGGCCATCCAGCCCTACTCATCTCTCTTTGCTGTTAACACAGACTGATCAAGATGCTGTGTACTAGGCAGGCTCCACGCACATAACCTCCACAAAATAACAAAACGGATTCCAGGACAATGATGCAGTTCTGTCTGATACGAAGGCCTCAGATATACCTCCTGGAATATCTTTGTGGTGGAAAAACCGATGGAAATACACTACAGTTTATAATGGTATCTGGGAGTCTATACAGTGAAACACCAAGGCTGGCATTGGGAGATTCTTCTCAGCATGAAACCCTCTAGTCCAGCGTTTCTCAACCTGTGGGTCGCGACTCCTTTGGGGGTCGAACGACCCTTTCACAGGGGTCGCTGGGTACTCATATGTGGGCGTATCTGCATGTGGGCCTGGAGACGGATAGAGGAGCGGTGTCTCGGTTCCTAAGACCATCGAAAATATGTGTTTTCCAATGGTCTTAGGCGACCCCTGTGAAAGGTTGAGAACCGCTGCTCTAGTCCTAAGAAGAGGTGCTAGTTTTCATCAGGAAGGACTGCACAGCCTAGTAGGTTGTATTTGTGTGTGCTTATTTTTGTTTCTTATGCAGTTTTTTTTCTGAAAAGGAAATAAAAGATCAGGACACACATGGCAACAACGCGTTTCTTCCTGGATGCTCTGGCTTGGTTTGGGCTCAGCCTTGCCACACAGAAACCTAACTGGGAAGAGTGGGGCAGCACCGGACAGCCATACTTACAGTCGGTGAAGAAGACATGTGCAGCCCGGTACTTTGCAGTCGGTGGGTCCTTAAAGTCATTGATGAGAGAGCGGACAGACTGTGGGGAGAGGAAAGCGGGAACTGAATCCAATTGTAGAAGCAAATGGGGCCTATATCTGGACTGGGCTTTCAAGCCACTTGCACAAAGTTGTGGGGGATTTTGAATATAATTCTAAATCATGTTTGGCCATAACTGAGTTCCAAGGACTTGAAATTAGGATTATTTCAGTATTTACATGAACAAAAGCCTTCCTAGCTCATTCCAGAATGACAGTGTGAGTTCCTTGGAGCCACCATAAGCTGGGTTCCTAAGAAGAGGCCCACAGAAGAGGAAACTGGTCAGAAACCTTCCAGGAGATGCATCCTGAAGAAGCTCTGGCAATTTCGTTGCATCACATGTAAGCCAGTTTTTAAAAGTGAAAAGAAAGAGTGAAAACTGGAGGGAACTTATATGGACTGAGAGACCTAGAGGTGGAATTTGTCAGGATGCTGATTTGAACCAACCCCCCAAATTATAAGACAGGTATATCTGAACACGAACCGGAAATTGACGAAATCAACCTGAAAGCATAAAACAGCAAAGCTCGGCAGGTGGCTCCCTGGCCAGATGCAGCGGACCTCCTCCGAGAGAGGGAGAGCAAGGGAGAAACTAGGATGACCTGGCGCTGGCTTTCTGGACAGCGGAGGCGTTAATACTCCAGAAAGCCTCATGGCCTCTCCACTCCTCACTGCACCCCTCCCTCCCCGTCTGTGGACTGCGGACTGAAACACAGCGGTGTGGTCAATGCGTGCTTAGCCTAGAAACGGCAGACACCGTGCCACGCAGACACTGTGCCAGCACGTGCAGCCTCCGCCTCAGCCAAAGCTCTCCGGGGAGGGTTTACCTTCTCGGATGGAGTGATGAGATACACAGCCTCCAGGCTGGGCAGTGGTTCCCTGCATTTGTTGATATCTTCCACAACTAGACAACAAAACAGCAGCCCACAGTGAATGAGAAAAACACAACTGGCGATCATAAGACTGGAAGCAATGGGTACAGGCTGCCTTTAGACTGGTGCAGATACAAATTTATGGGGGGCGCGGGGGGGCAGGTCATTTGTCCCTTCCTTAGAGTGACCACATTCCACTGTCCCACAACATTGAAGGTGTTAGAAAACCCAAAACCATCACACTAAATACCTCCCATTTCCCTTTTCAATTCCTTGACCTCACTCAGTCAGGAACAGTCTTTTGCCTCTTCAGGTTTTTCTTATCTGTCCTAAACAAACCCATTTCCTTGAGCATTTCCATGTAGGGCTTATTTATCAACCATTGGATAGTTTTATCATTTTCCTCTGTATGTCTACAAATGAAGACATCCCAAACATACCTTCTATATAACACAGTCCCTCTCAATAGGTCGAAGACTAAATATTACATTTTGTTAAAGCACACCCGGGGCTTTTGGTTTCTTGCATCTTTTATGGTTGCGTCAGCTACTTCCCCGGGAAAGAAGAGCTTTGGGGCGGCCACCACCTTACCAGTCGCCTGACAGAACTTAGGATGGTTACCTACGCTGCACCACCCCGCGGCCCTTCTCCCCAGGCAGGTGATCTAGGGACATAAATGCACCACTTTAGCATTTATAAAGACTTCTCACCCCAAATAGTGTCCAAATTAACACCCAAATCTTACAACCATCTATTTCAGCAATGGTTGTGGATTTTTGAATTTCATAGGCCAATAATACTTCCACCCAAAATGTTTTGGGGTTCAACACAGGGTTGCTGACTTCTAAATTTTGCCAAGTAAGGACATTTTAAAAAAGGCACCTTTGGGGTAGGGGAAAGTCTGTGTGCAGAAGCGGAGAGCTGAACCCTCATGTACCACGCAAGTCAACAGATAACGTTTAACACTGATGAATCAGGAGATAATAGTATAAGTATTTATTTAGAAATATCAAAACTATAACCAGAAGAAAAAGCAGAGTAACCATTTCTGGTGTAATGGCCCTGGAAGACGGGGGAGAAGGGCGTAGGGCAGGGCATTGCTGCTTCTTTGTCAGAAGTTCATTTGTTCCATTTGGCATTCTCCCCCCTTAATTTTGTGCATTTTTTGCTTTGATAGAGAAAAAAAGTTTCAAAAAATCAACGAGGAAATTAACTTTCTAAGCTCAAAACAGGGGCAAGCCTGGTCTTGGATTGCTAAATGACAAAATGTCACACCAAAAATTATGTACTCCCATTTAGAACTATGCTTCTAATGACAGATAAACTGGATTTGGAAAAGTGCTTTTAAAAATGAAGGACTCACATCCAAGGTGTGACTGCACCCCCAAAATTATATTGGGTTGTCGGAAAAGTCATGACGCATTTTTGCAATGAAAAACATTAAAAAAATACGTCATGACTTTTCCGACAACCCAATATAATTACATATAACATAGAATGTAATCAACAAGAAAATCCATAACATATTATCACCATAATTTTACAATTTAAAAACATTTTAACACCAAATAATAGGAAAGACATAACCTTTGAATAAAGAGCAAATCTTTAAATTCAATTCCTTTAGCTTAATGCAAACCTCCACCCTCCATGCTTTTCCTCCTGGAACTGTGGTGTAGCAATTTTGACAAAGACCAGCCACAGTCTGTGAGCCACACATCCTATAAAGTTGTCTCCAGGCGAAAAAATTGGGAACTGTGTTACAACAGGTATGTTCCACCTAACATTTTCTCAGGGGAAAACCAAAGGTCAACTTCCTTGTTTGAAATAATACCTCAAAAGAGACTGCTTTTCAATCAATGCTGTTTCAAAGGTTAAAACATGTGATCCCTCTTGAAAGGCACCCCTGAGTAAGACGAGAGCTGCACACCATCGTGAATAAGAGCTCTGGGACAGAAGCCAGGTCTGGGTCCTAGTCTCAGGTATGACATTGGCTAGGGATCTTGGGTGGGTCATTTAACTTTTTTCAAAAAACCTATTTATTGTGAGATTATAACACATGCCAAAGAGTGAATAAAACATAGACATACGAATAATTGTAAGACAAACGTCTGTATAAGCACTGCTCTTAGGAAGCAGAGCCCACCACCAGCACTGCGTGCGTGCCCTCGCCCCACCCCCCCTACCCTCCCTCATCAATCTCCTTCCTTCCAAAGAGAACCACCATCCTGACATGAATGATGATCACTTCTCTTTAAGGTTTTACCACTTATACCTGCACTTCAAAACAGTAGAGCTTAGTTCTGCCTGGACTTGAACTTTATATAAATTAAAGCATACTGTAAGCACTTTTTTGTATCTCACTTCTTTTGCTCACCAATATGTTTATTGGATTCGTTCATGTTATTGTCAGTAGTCAGAGGTCATTCATTTTCATTGCTAGATAGTATTCCACTGTGTGACGCTGCCACAATTTATTTTATCATTCTACTCTTGACAGATGTTTTGGTTGTTTTGACTTTGGGGCTACTATGAACAATGTTCTGTGCGCATTCCTGCATGTGCATCCCAGGCACACACGCTTGAGGTTGTCTAGGACACACATCTAACCACTGACTTGCAGGCCCAGAGCACACGCACACCTTCAGCTCTACAAGACACCGCCAAGTGTTTCTCTAAGTGGCTGTACCAGTGGACACACCGTCATTCAGGAGTTTCCATTTTTCTACAGCTTCTCTGTCACTGACATTATCAGGGTTAAAATAGTCCAGGCTGGTGAGTGTATAGCAATACCTCACTCTGGTTTTAACTTCATTTCCCTGATCACTAATGAGGGTGGGCAATTTTTTTCATGTATTTATGGGGCATTTGGATTTCTTCCTTTCTTGAGTATCTGTTTAGGTCTTTCACCCATTTTTTTCTATTGAATGGCCTGCCTTTTTTTCTTGACTTGACCTTCCTTTCGGCATTCTCTAACAGATATTTAATGAGCATCTCGCACTGGATGAGAGCTTCAGTGATGAACAAGAAATCTTGGGTCTCTCTCAGGAACTTACGGTCTTACTACCCAGGTTGTTGGAAGAATCTAAAGTCAAGCGAGATAATAATGACTAGGGAGGAAGGGAGCCCGGCACAAAAGGAAGGCCTGAGTGTCATTCAAGGGCAGAGAGAATGTGCGCTCACTTGTTATCCCCTCGGTCATGATGTCTGTCATCTTACAGCAGGAGGAGAGCATCCGCATGCTTAGCTGATCGACCACCAGCACCTGGAAGCAAAGACACAGGCTTACGGCCTGTACGGCACCTGCTCTGACCCTCTCATCAGTGAATGCACCAGACTTCAAAGAGCCCCAGAAGTGCAGAAGAGTGACTTACCGATATTTCCTATGGGCCAGAAGTTTGCTGAAATGCATGCTAGCTCTGATCTCCCACACCCAAACCTAACCTTCTAGGACTTAAGAGTTTGCTCTCACTGACTTAATTTTATAAACTTAAAACATTTCAAGTTTTAATTTTCCATGATAAAGAAAATAATTACTCATAAAAAAAAGAAAAGAAATAAAAGACAAAAATAATCTATAGCACCCATACTCAGAGAAAAGCGGGTTGGAGAGTATTTTCTTAGGGCGTAACTTTTTCCTATAGAGAGGATGGACACTCATGCCACACTAATGATCTAGAAGGTGAGGTCTCTGCTGCAAAGCCGTCAGGACGCACCGTCACCAGCACGTGCATCATCTGGGTGTAAACCCTTGTGCAGCCAGTCCGGAAGAACACAAGTGTGCCTGGTCTAAAAGCTTCACACCTGTAGCTCTTCCGCTAATCTTTCCCAGCTGCATTCAGCCCACAGAGGAAGACAGAGGAGGCCGGCAGTTAAAACAAGGCTAGTCCTCATCTCCTTCTTTAATGATACAAACTGAGGTAACAGAAGCTTGGCACGAGGTGGGCCAGAAAGCATTTGGCTGCAGTGCAAGGGCCAATCAGTTTTCATTTCATGAGGAAGCTTCCTCAGATTTGTTTAAAATTCACATGTCCACAAAGATGGGCACACAGACTTCCTGCCAGGCAGCCTCCTGCCCTGGTGGCGAGGACGCGCTGGCTAAAACAATCTCACAAGGCCAGCGGTGAGGCTTCAAAATCCCCCTGTACCAATCACTCTGCTGGTCCCAGGCCCAATGGACTTGGAAATGTGTGGGCTCCTGACTGCAGGAAAACCTGGGGGCAAGAATGGCTGAAGTAAACCTTCCAGAACACACAGGAAACTCTGGTAAAACTGCACGCTCTCCTGGCCAGTGGAACGCCCGGCCCCAGACAACCCAGTGACCCTTAGAACACTGGTGGACGACAGCACTTTTCCCCGCTCCTGCATCACCCACTCCAGGAACCGCGGCCATAACCAGTCTGATTGGCTTAAATACTTGTTTCATGAACATTATACATGAAACATCCAGCATTGCTCTCAAAATTACATGAATAAACATGTAACTTCTTTTGTCTTATGTAAACAGACAGATGGGGACAGAGCAGACGAGAGCCTTTGCCACCTTTGCGTGGGCTCCGTGGAGATGCCTTACGGCTGCTGGGGGTCTAGAGGGGCCCTCTCTCTCTCCTTTAGCAAGGAGGATTCCACCTTCTTCAGCTGTATAATGGGTTCCAGGTGAGATTTTGTAGGAATAAGAGTTCCACTGATAAAATGCCCCACCAGGTGACCTTTCAGGTAAGTTTTCTGACCAGGTTTCTAAACCAGAGGCAGATGAGATTACCTTTGTTTGCACTCCCTGATCACAACAGAGGCCCTTTCCCCCAACCCTCCCCTCTGCTGTTCTGCTCTCCACAGGAATTCACCTTGAAAGCCATTAATTGTCCTCTTCTACTTACCTTCCACTCCCCCTTCTTCTTGACCTTCTTTATCACATCATGCATAATCTCTAAAGGGAGGAGGAGGGGGGAAAAAAGAAGGAGGGAGGGGGGGAGCAGGGGAAGAGAGAGGGACAGGAGGAGGAAAAAAGGAAAATTTAATGTAATTTCAAGGACTTCCAACACCTGCCTATTAGACTAGGTGACTCCCCCTCCCCCATAGGCTTCGCTCTCTTTGTTCAACCCATCAATCGGTTTACTGAGCCATAATCAATCCACCATACAGAGAGTTCTCTTCCTGTGTTCTTAATTCAGTGGTTCTCTAACTTTTTGGTCTCAGGGCTCCACTACACTCTTAAAAATTGAAGGCCCCCAGGGCCGGCTGAGTGGCACGTTGGTTAAGAGCTGGCTTGGGACACCAGAGGGCCCCGGTTCGGATCCCACATATGAGGGCCAGTGACACTGCCCTC